ATATATATATATATATATATATATATATTTTTTTTTTTAACATTGCAATAAAAGCAAATTAAAACCAATGTTTGTCTTAAAGAAATCACCGGAAGAATGATCAAATCTATGTTGTAGTAGACATTGTTTTATTGTGGAACTGCTCAAATACTATATAACCATTATGAAAAAGCTGCACATAGCTAACATAGCTGTGATGTTGGCTATGTTCAAAAGAACGTTAGGAGACAAAAAATCAGCAGAATATATTTTTAAGAACATCTTTTGCTGAGGTGGCATAATCTTTTTTTTTTTTCATTCAACCTTTATTTAGACAGGTAAATCCCATTGAGCCTCGAGGACTCATTTACAAGAGAGACCTGATTTCAACAAAGAATGATGACAACAGCGACAACAATAAACAGTTATAAAAAGTCATACAAATTTCTTTATTTTTTTTTTTTTTTACAAATAGGATGGCTAAAAATAAGAAAAGTAACAAAAACAGCTAGATTCTAAGGCGAATGTAGAAAACTAAAAACAGGAACATGTCTGCATCGGTCCCTGCCAGGAGTCCAACAGATTCTTAAAGTTACTTAGAGAGGTCAAGGTCGAGAGCTTCAAATCTAATAATCTGATTTCTGCTTATGAAAATGTTTTGACTTAGTGAAGTTAGAATAGAGTTGATAGCAGGAAAATCTTTGAGCAAACATCACACATCTGCAAATAAACTGAAGATGAAGAAGGGTTCATACCTGTTCATTAAAGAGGTGATGAAATCTTCTCAGGTCTACACACCACTCCACAAATAATCTGTTTGTGTGACTCCTTCTGTTTGCAGCAACTTCACCTGTGGTGAAAGCATCAACCACGTATGAGATTTCCCCTGACTCTAAACATAAAATCTAATTTGTCCTTTCCTCTTTGTGTTTCTTTAGGTCCTCCTGCTCTTCCTTATAATCTTGACTGCTTTAGACCATGTGACCAGAATGACTGCTCAGTCATAAAGTGCCTTTGGAGTCCAAATCCACCTCCTGATAGCTCCACTGTCTACAGCCTTCACTGGGAGCCAGTGAACACAGAGTAACTCCCACTTCTTAATTATCTGACAGCTTTTAACATTTAAAGACACCAGTTGAAGTTTTACGCCTCTCATTTTGTCTTGACCTGTCATGTCTCCTTTTGCTTTTTTCCAGTGATGGGCAATGGACCGGTGGGAATAGTTCCCAGGGGAATATCGCTCGTGAAAACTTTCGTAGCCACCAAGAACTTCGTGTCTGGGTCCAGGCTCGAAACCAGCACGGTTTTGTCAAATCTCAAGAGGTTGTCATCAATACTGAAGATATCAGTGAGTCAATTCTGCACATTTATTTTTATTATTTCAAACAACATTGTGTTTGATGCCTTTTGGACAATCGGAACCATAATAGTTTATGAGTTCATTAAATAAAATCTTGGTTTTGATCAGAACTTAACCCTAAAAGATCAGTTTTGATCTGAGTGAAATTTCAAGCCATAAATGTTTCTTGTGTCTGCCTCTGCCTTTCTGTCCTTGTCTCTAGAGAAACCACCCCCTCCTATAATCTCATCAAACCATCAGGAACCATTAGAGATTCACTGGGACTTCACCTGTGAGTTGCAGCTGGATGATGGAACCTGTGAAGTCAGGCATCGTACAGAGGAGGACCAAGACTGGACTAGGGTCTGTTTGGGTTCAGGTTTTTTTCCACTGATTTACATTCTCTCAGCACTTTTTACAGTTCAATACACATTTACTCTTTTGCCCTGAAAACTTAACACAACAAGAGAGTAAAGGTGTATTTTCTAATTCAAAACCTTTCAGTTGTTTGCCAAACTAATCCTAAACTGTCTCTTGTTCTTTGGTGCAGTATGAAGATGGATTACATAGCTACTATGGAGTTGTGAACCCCAAGGCAGGCACAGTTTTTGAGTTTCAGGTCCGTTGTAGGTGCCACTCAAGTCTGATGAGTGACTGGAGTGAAATCTATAGAACGAGAAGTGCAGAGTCAAGTGAGTTTTCTTTTTTAGGGATTCAAAACTATTTTGGAACAGATTTTTTTTTTTTTTTTTGTCTTATGCTTCCAGTGGTTTCCTAGTAAAACTGAACAGTACAGTAGTCCCTCGTTTATTCCATATCATACCACTTGATTTATAAAGCGCTTCAAACAGCAGCAAGGCCAGCCAAGGTGCTGAGACTTTATTTATCTTTAAATAAAATTTAAAGTTTATCGCAGGGGTGACGTTCCGGACACCTCCGCAATAAGTGAAAAACAGCCAAGTAGGAAACGTTATATTTATTTTAGTATTTATTAAGAACATACGTATATGTACTGCACAGTAGCTACTGCAGAATTTTATATGGGGACTCACCAGCCTTGGTCCGGTTATGATCGGCTTTCTGCAGACGTTGCGCACCAGACTTTTTTGGAGAGAGACTGACTTTCGGAGAGCCAGCACAAAACCATGCAATGGTCCTGATCGAGTCCAAATAATCCAGAGAAATCCAATTAAAAAAAGTCCGGGTGCGCTCCGTAGAAGACACTGGACCTCCAAGCAACGTCTCCCCGCTCGAGAGGCTTCCTGGGCCAGCAAGCAGCACCCAGATTGACCGATGAGGCTAAAAGTAGTTCTTGTCCGGTTCTGATCGGGTTCTGATTTGCTCTCTGCAGCCACTGAGCGCCTAAGTCACTATGAATAAGGACCAAACTTTTTAGTCAGGTTCAGATCAGATCAAAACTCTTCCTTCGTTTTGGCAGAAAGCAGTGGGCCAGAAGCACTGTTGTCTTCTGGGTAACGTAGTTCTTTTGGACTGGCGATACAGTGTAGACTTATTGAAAGAAAACTAGAAAATGGCGGTGCCTGTCCGTAGTATTTTTTTCGTTAACTTTTTATCCCATTCTCAGTCACGTGAGTAATATTAAAGTTGACAGTTATTGAAAAACCGCAAAAGAGCGAGGGACTACTGTATACAGTATAGAAAATTTATTATTGCAATATCAACACATCACAAAAAATGGAATAAACCACAGAATAAACTGTACCGCCGTAATATATTTAGCAATAAGATGGACCGCCACTTCCTAAACATCTGATTCAGATGACAGCAACCAAAAAGCTAAAGTTCACGAAGTGTTTCAACAGCTGAAGACTAAAAGTGATAAAAATATAGATTTATCACTATTTCTATTGTCATCACAATATCCAGCAATAAAATGAATATTTTCCTAATACAGTGCAGCCCTAATTTCTACTCATAAACGTAGACTAGATGCTGTCATATTAATTGTACACTAAATTTGAATCTTGAGAATACAGATGTTCAGTTTACATCATGAGCAAAAATGCAAACTAAGGGCCAGAGGCATGCCTTGGACCATTTCAGTCTGACTCACAATATGCTCAAAATAATAAATCACAACTGGTATTTATTTTACCAGTGAATGCCTGTGTTTTGGGCCCATGTTTCCTACTAAAAGAGGTCGTAACTGTTCATCAGGTCAGTAAGGTCTGTGGTTGTGTTAGAGAACCCGACTCAAGAAGAATACCTGTTTGTTTTGATTTTGTTTTAACTGAGTTGACATCTACGCGCAGTTTTTTAAAGTTGCAGAAAAAACGAACGATTCACTCTTTATGTCTCCTTTTCGTTTGTTTTCAGCTCCAATCGGAGAAGTGGACGTTTGGGTAGACTGCGTCGTGCCCTCGTCAAGTTTTGACTGTTTTTTGACCTGGAAGGTACGTTGAAAAACAAATGCACCCAAAAAACAACTTGGCAACACTAAAAGCGAACTCCCTCACTACCTTCTCTTTTGTTTTTGTCCTGTCCAGAATCTGTCCATTTCTCAGGCACACGGACACATTCTAGGATATGACGTTAGAGTTGTTTACCATAATGGCACAGTGGAGCTGATCAACGTGACCACGGTTAATTCAAGCAGCTGGGTGTACGATGAAAGGAAGTGGTACCTCACTACGTCTCTGAAAGATGTGTCATTTGTCAGTGTTTCGGCCTACAATGCTTTTAGTGCCACAGATGCTACTCATCTATTTATGCCAGCAGCACCAGGTAATACACAATTAATCCTTAAGGTAATTTAAAACAGATTCCATATCAATTTTGAACAGTTTGACGCCTTTCAACCATTCCCTTTAGCCTTTTTAAAACCTTTATTCTGACATAAAACTCATAAAAGCACATGCAATATTTGAGGGACTGGACAATAAATCAGGTGACCTTTAGAAGTCCTCATAGAGTGCAGTTGTTCACATTAGCAAGGCGAGAGGAAAACTGTTGCAAAAAATAAGACAGCTATAACTGAAAACATAAGTTTGCGCTTCTATGTGTAGTGAACACTCAGTGTAAAACTTGTGAAGCGCCAGCATTACTAATGTTTGTCAAATGAGAAGCACTACCAAACAAAACATTTCATAACATGTTGTTTTTACTTTACAAATGTATTTCAAGCTCTCAAGGACACTGTATTGTAAAAACAGCATGGTCAAAGTTAATTATATTAAAATATACCAGAAAGTAGAAGTGTCATTGCAACACAAACGCATTCTGTTTTTTTCCAGCTTACTCTTGGATGATTAAACACGGCAGCTGATCGTCATCTGTAAAACTGACAAAAGAAAGAGCAACAGAACTTTTTTTTATAATATCGCTATCGGTTACATTCCTCCAAGCAGCTGATTAGAAGCTCAATCAATCCACGGCTGCTGTAGGTGTTTCTCAGTCAGCATGATTTCAATAGTTCTGACCCATCCAGGTGTAAGATGATTCATAAGTGCTAACAGAGCTGATCTAATCAGACTGATGTTTGTAACTTATTCTAGGAAAGCCCACAGGGGTGATTTAGAGGTGACTGTGACAGTTTCCATTTGAGTCATTAAAAGATGTGCATGTCACATTTTTTTTAATTAAATAATGTAAGATGTTAAAAGCAATCCAAAAAAACTTTTTCTTTAAATGCTGCCGTGAATTAAACTGAATTAGTGCTGTTTAGAAATACTGTTATATTATTTACATTCATATTTGAATTGTTGCTAACATGGGTCATATCAGCCCAGAAACAAATACAACATATCAGAGATGACGGTTTCTTCAACTTCTTCTACAAGCACTGAAAATGTGCAGTTTTTAGATTTTAAATATTTAACAGATGATTATTAAAAACAAACTCATTTCAGATCTGCTCAGTAGATTATGCATTGTTTTAAAAAACTCAAATCTATAAAACATACATGTTTGCTCAAATCATGGAAATAATTTAATTAAACATGTAGTTTTATTGTAACTTATATTAAATTGTATTGTTATAGCATTAAGTAATTTAATTTAGACTGATACACTTTAGTTCCTTTTCTGATAGGGATTTTTATTTTAGCAGCATTTTAAATCTGGACCTGCAGTTTAATGCCAACTAATTATTAAATTAAAACGTGACCACTCTGATTATAGTTTCTATTTGAAAATGATGACTGTTGTATTTTTAATCAATTCTTTATTTCGACTTCTTGTTTATACTAACAACACTTTTGTCTCTCGCCAAGGTCAACATGTAAATGATCAAATAATCGAGCTGCAGATGAACGAGGAGAACCTTACGGTGTCCTGGGAGCCCCCCTCTCTCTTCCCTGACGATGTGAAACAATACGTGGTGCAATACAAAGAGTGTCTGCCTGGCAAAAGCTTCGACTGGATCAAAGTGGACAAAAACCACACGACAGTTTCTTTTAAAGGTCTGTGTTGTTTGGATGCATAAATATAAAGTATAGTTTGTTTAACGGCTCTGTTTGAATATTCTAAACTTACCATGTGGTTCAAAAATTCTTTCAAGTTATTGATGAGTTTCTGAGAATACTCATTGAGTATTTTAAGGGTGTGTTTTTTTTTTTCTGGACAGATATTTTAATCTGGTTTGTGTCTCCATCTGTAGGTGTATTTAAAAAGTACACAATGTACCAAGTTTCATTGTTTGCAGTGTCAAATTTAAATGAAGTCCAGCAGCTTTCAACAGCAACTGGATATTCCACTCAAGGAGGTCAGTATGACATATACAGTATTATATATATATATATATAAGTTATGACCTGATATTTGTTCATTTTTATCATTTCCTGTGTCCTTCCTCTTCTCTTTATTTGTCTTTCTCCAACAGTTCCCTCCACAGTGCCATCATTTAAGGTGTTTTTTCTAGCTTCCACTGATGTGATTCTGTTTTGGGAGCCTGTTCCTTACGCCAAACAGAAGGGGGTGATCCTGTACTACCAAATAGGAGTTGTAGGCACACAAAAAGGTACAAAACAACAAAATCACAGTGTACAAAGTTATAATACTATCGTATAAAAAAAGACAACACCAGTCAAAGATTTAAAGCACAACTCGTATAGGAAAAAAACTTGGATTTGTCTGGAGTATGTTCAACATGTATATCACGATCAAGCATTAGTTGTTTTATAAAACCTGGCTGAAATAGAACAAAGCAGTTAAAAGCTCCTACATCAGAGAATGACTCGAGTTGTTTCTAAACTGAAATTTGAAGGCTGTTCTGGACTTGGATTCTGCTGCACAGTAGAAATGATCCTTAAACTTTACAACAGTAATTCAGTCTTATAAGCAGACAACAGAACAAGTGCAGGGTCCTACATTCATATGGTTGGTAAATAATATATTATATTTACCCTCACATTAGATTAGAAGTATTACTAAAAGATATGACAAAATTATATAAAGATCACTATTTAGGCATCATTAAACAGTTGCGAGGTTTATTTGTAACTAATTTGTCTCTAGGTGTGAGTGAGAGAGTGGGTTGTTTGTCTCGTTTGTCTGTGTCCCTGTCATGGACTGGAGACCTGCCCAGGGTGTCCACTGCTTCTCGCACAGTGATGGCTGGACATGGGCACCAGTGGCATGGCTGGATGGCTGGCTGGATGGCTGGCTGGATGGATGTATGGCTGGCTGGTTGGATGGATGGATGGCTGGCTGGATGGATGGATGGCTGGATGGATGGACAGCTGCAAACTGCAAACATGACATAATCATAAAGTATTCTCTGTACCGGTAAATGTAATATCAATGACAAGAAATCACCAACAATAAAATGAGATTAAATTAGATTAAAAAATGTTTTGTTGCAAGAATTCATAACATCATTCTCTAAACGATGTGTGATGTGATCTTTTTTATAAACCATACCCAGATTTAAGACCCGATTCAAGGGATGTTTTCTGGTGTATATTAGGTCAATTTATCTGACTTTATACTCACTAAACTGATAAAAACATGGTATTTTATATTCTGTAAGAAGAATACAAATGTTTATAAAGAGCAATGCAGTTTTTCTAAGATAAAATATTTTGTTTCTTACTTTATTTAAACTGCAGTAATAAATTGTGTCTTTACAAAACTTTGGTTATATAATTTTATATAAAACGACTTGTCTCTTCTAGTGTACAACGTGAGTGTAAGCCCAGATCCTGGGAACATGACGTACAAGCTGACAGGTCTCAGTCCAGCCCAGGAGTACAAGGTTTGGATCAGAGCAGTGACTTCAGCTGGGCCCGGCTCAAACGTCACCACAACATTCAAAACAATGCACTCAGAAGATTTTGGTACGACATGAAATCTCAGTTTTGTGTTGTTTTTGCTTGTTACTTCCTGAACCTTAGTTAAAATGTATTTTATTAAAGCTTGTAAAAGATGAACAGATTATATTCTTACATGAAACTTTTTTTTTCATCAGGGTATTTAATTCCCATCCTGCTGCCAACAATGCTGCTGGTCATCACAATCGCTGTTATTGTTGCACTTTGGTAAGACAATCGTAATAAACTTGTTTCTGTTTAATGTGTTCATTTTCACTTGATGCCATTTATCAACCAGCCAGTGAAGGTACTTTACTTTTAAACAAAATAAAAAGTAAAATCTGAACAGTGTTTGTCCATAAAATATCATTTTTAGATACATTCTCACCTACCTTTTTAAATGAACTGTTTGAATAACATTTGTGGATGTTTTTAAATGGCCTCAAAGAGTTCACGGCATTATAAAAAGTATTAAAACTTGTGTCTTGTGCTGTTTTGTGCCTGTCAGTGTTTGCAGAGGAACAAATAAAGTGCTTTCACTTTGTCTCAATGGGAAAGTGCCAGATCCTCGCAACAGCCACATCTTTAAACACATGAAGCACCAGGTAAGGCTGTCGCTGTCAATACCTTGAATTGGTTCACAGTTACAGTTTGTTACTCTTTATTGACAATTTATTGTTTATTTACTCTTTCTTTAGATTAATGAGCCCTTGACCTGGATCCGCATTCCCCTCTACGAGCCTAATCCCAAGATCTCTCTTCTGGAAGTTGTGGAAATCAAGTCCAAGGTTTTAGACACTGATGGATTCAACAGGCCAGTGATGGAGAACGATTGTTCTCAGATGGACTGCAGAGACCTTCATATGGAAGAAACGGTAACAGAAGACCATAACAGGACAGACCGTAGATACAGAAGAGAGGAGTACAGCAAAATGATTGATTCAGACGAGGACAGGAATGATGAGTTCTCATCAGAGGAAGAGCAGTTTATCTCAGATTATGAAAGGCACTTCATGCCCAATCCTCTGGAAATACTGCAAAACTGACACCTTTGCATGGGACCAAAGACATTCATGAATTTTTTTTACTTGTTTTTATACGTTGAAATGTAATAACATTATGAATAGGCTTCTGTATTCTCTGTAGGACGATTTCACAATAATAAAAAAGATGCATGTGATAGATCTTACAGCTGGCAGCCCTCTCTTTCTGTTTTCCCTTTCATTTTTTGCATTTTGATGATATTTAGTCGTATTAAATTTGATTAGTGTGTTTAATAATGCACTGTTTCTTGAACTGTGGTGCTGTATGAGGAAATGTAGATTTGCAGAGAAGCGCAGTTGTGCTTGAATGTTTGTGAAGCTTTTATAATTTTCTGTATTTCTGCATAAGTATGTCCTAAAACATCATCAGATTTTCACACAAGTCCTAAAATAGATAAAGAGAACCCAGTTAAACAAATGAGACAAAATATTTTACTTGGTTATTTATTTAGTTAGGAAAATGAGCCAGTATTACATATTTGTGAGTGGTAAAAGTATGTGAACCTTTGCTTTCATTATCTGGTGTGATTAGGGTCATTGTCCTGCTGCATGACCCACCTCTTGAGATTCAGTTCATGGACAGATGTCCTAACATTTTCCTTTAGAATCCTCAGATATACTGTAATTTCTGGACTATTGAGCACACCTGAATATAATCCTTGCCCGCTAAATTTAAAAAGAAAATAAAAATTTCACATAAATAGGCCGCCCTTGTCTATAAACAGCGAGTGTTCATGTTGTAACATGAGATATTTACACCGAAAGATTTTTGTTTGTTTACTTTTAATTAAATATATACCAGTAACACGCACAAATACAGTAAATGTTTTTTTTCCCCGAACAGAATATGTAACTCGGCTGATAAAAATACAGTAGTCTACCAGGCCCGTGACCCAAAATGAAGAAGCGGGTAAAAGAGGATGGATGGATGGATGGATGGATGGATGGATGGATGGATGGATGGATGGATGGATGGATGGATGGGTGGGTGGGTGGGTGGATGGATGGGTGGGTGGGCGTGTAGATGGATGGATGGATGGATGGGTGGATGGATGGATGGATGGATGGATGGGTGAATGGATGGATGTGTAGGTAGGTAGGTGGGTGGATGGATGGATGAATGGGGTCTTTTGTGACCTTGTGGCCCATTATACACCTTGCTCTTGGACTGATCTTTGTTGGTCCACCACTCCTGGGGAGGGTAACAATGGTCTTGAATTTCCTCCATTTGTACACAAACTGTCTGACTGTGGACTTGTGGAGTCCAAACTCTTTACAGATGATGTTGTAACCTTTTCCAGCCTGATGAGCATCAACAACTCTTTTTCTGAGGTCCTCAGAAATCTCCTTTGTTTGTGGCATGATCCACTTCAACAAACATGTTGTGAAGAGCAAACTTTGATAGATCCCTGTTCTTTAACTCAAACAAGGTTCTCCACTCACACCTTTTCATTCATTCAACCTTTATTCATACAGGTCAATCCCACTGAGCCTCTAGGACTCATTTACAAGAGAGACCTGAATTTTTAACAAAGAGTGATGACAATAATGGACGACAAAAGACAATCATTAAAGATGCGTCCAAATTTATTTAATTTTTTTCAAACAAGTTAAAACCTAGTGATCATCATCCTACTGACTGAAAATACCTGACTCTAATTTCACCTTCAAATTGACTGCAAATCATAGAGGTTCACATACTTTTGAATCAGAATCAGTCTTTATTATATTATACACAGAAGCACAACAAAATTTAATTTCAGTACAGCCTGACCAGGGTAGACAGGGTGCCTGAGGCTGCAGCCTCAACACGAGGAAACGGCAAGAAAAAAAAGTCATATCTCACACTGTGTCCTGTTAGGGACACAGTGTGAAAGTAAAAAAAAAAACTCAGCACGCTACTCACAAATATGTAACATTGGATCATTTTCCTCAATAAATAAATGACCAAGTATATTTTTGTTTCATTTGTTTAACTGGCATCTACTTTTAGTACTGGTATGAACAATATTACATATTTATTTATTTATATTTATACAGAAATATAGAGTATTCTTAAGGGTTCACAAATTTTCAAGCACAAATATATGTTAGACTGGTACAGGACATGTATTAGGACAACAGGACAGTGGTGAGATGTGCTGTAGGAGTGACAGATAGCTTCACGGTGGAGGTAGGAGTGCATCAAGGATCGGCTCTGAGCCCCTTCTTGGTTGCTCTGATGATGGATAGACTAACAGATGAGGTCAGACAGGTCAGTCCCCATGGACTATGATGTTTGCAGATGACATTGTGATCTGTGGTGAGAACAGAGAACAGGTGAAAGAGAACTTAAAGAGGTGGAGGTATGCACTTGAAAGAAGAGGAATGAAAGTCAGCCGTAGTAAAACAGAGTATATGTGTGTGAATGAGGCCTGTGGAACAGTGAGGCTACAAGGAGCAGAGGTCACAAAGGTGCAGGACTTCAATCACTCCGGGTCCACTGTCCAGGAAAAGGCATGGGGAGCGTGGTAAAGAAGTGAAAAAGAGAGTCCAGGCAGGATGGAGTGGATGGAGAAAAGTTTCAGGAGTGATTTGTGACAAAAGGGTGTCAGCAAAGGTCAAAGAAAAAGTTACAAGACAGTAGTGAGACCAGCTATGTTGTATAGACTGGAGACAGTGGCATTGACAAAAGGACAGGAGACAAAACTGGAAGTGGCAGAAATGAGATCATCAGAGGTACAGCACAGGTAGAACAACTGGGAGATAAAGTTAGAGAGGCCAGACTGAGATGGTTTGGACATGTCCAGAGGGACAGTGGGTATATTGGTTAGAAATACAGCTACTAGGAATAAGAAAAAGAGGAATGCCAAAGAGAAGATACATGGATTCAGAGAGGACATGGAGATAGTTGGAGTGAGGAGAGAGGATACAGAGGACAGAGTGAGATGGAGGAGAATGACTCCCGAGTCCCTGAAGGAACAGCCAAAAGAAGATAGTACAATAACTAGACACAATAAATGAATGAAATGACAACTGAAGTACATTATTAATGATAATAACAAATAAAACGTTTGACAGAATTTCAGAGAGCCCAGAAAAATACCATAAAAGTACCAAAAATAATGACCACCAAGACTGCAAGAAATTATCTCTCTGGGATCAAAGGTACAAATAAATAAGGTGTGCTTTAAAACTTTTGCACAGTCCAATGTGTGTACACGTTTATTTATTCGTCACAGTCAGCTTTGTTTGTTCGTGAATTGATTTACCTTCCTTTTACTTCTCAAGTTTGTATTTAATTTTTGAAGTTCCTAAAAAAAATTGAAGTTCCTGTAAGATTCACGATAATCTCACGAGATCACGTAAACGTGCGCTTAACGGAAGCCGTACTGAGCCAATTTCGGTCGGCGTGCTCATTTGAACAAGAAGCTGAAGAAGAGCAGCGGCCCAGCAACGACTGTCCAATTTTTAACAAAACATTGTACGTACAATTTTAGTATCTCTTTGGGGATTAATTGTATTACTGTACCGTGTTTTTTCCCCCCACCAGTTTAACGTTGGTAAAGCGTTAAAAATCCGTGTTAGCTCTGATCGTATAATTAGCATTAGCTAACTCCAAGGCGGCTTAAAGTGGCTAACGGTCGTCTGGAAAAACGTGTTCAGCGAGTTTGTAACATTTCGGGCTCCTGTTGCTCCTCTATCTTTAGATATATGACCAGACTTCGATGTTATATCTTTGTCTGAATGTTCGCAGAGCCCTCACGTCCTCTTTGGATACCACCAGAGGTTTTTTTTAGTTGTTATGCCGGGCACATTTTGAGCTCGCAGCCGGCGCACTGCCCTGTCGACCAGGCCTCAGGAAGAACTTTGGTGGCTTCAGGTCAGCCGTTGAAACGCAACTACAATCCGGTAAATACAGACTTTATATCAAGAGTATTAATTCGAAGTAAGGTAACAAATTATTCCCAGTTTGAAAATGGTTGGTTTAGTTCTCGTTCGTGATCATTTTTGTTTTCTGACGACACGATTACTTCTCACGCGACCCTCTCTGAGAGCTCGCGCTGTCCACGTATCGGTGACTATCAGCGTTGACGCGGAACAAAAAGTCCTCCGGACGGACCGGGTGGCGTGGGGGTGGAGGTAGGATTAACTTAAGCTGGGTCATAGAGATTTTAACTGGTCATTTCGTTTAAGGTCTTTTTTTTTTTTTTTTGCCTCGCTATTCAACCACAATGTAACTTTGTGTTGTCAGTTTCGGTTCAGGAACGGTGCTTTTAATCTCATTTCTCGCGGTATTTCTTAGCCAGCTTCCGTGTTCTGTCCACCTAATGCTTGTTTTTATTGTCCAAATTTGGATTTTAACAGTGATCAGCTGAAGCAGATTGAGTCTGTAAAAGTCAGTTATCACCTCAGGATGCTCGTTCTCATAGAAAATATTTCAAATTTACCCTTATACTAACCCTCTCTTGTTGCTCCTCTAAACATAATGTGGACTGGAGATGATGCATTCAAACCAACTGACTGTCACTGATGGTGTTTGTATTCATACTGTCTGATCCAGAGTCCGCATGCTATCATACATTTCATCCGTTTCCCCTTATTGAGCTGTGTAAATTATAACAGAGGAATTTATAAAATGTTGACCCATTTGTGTTTTACAGGATGGATTGGCAGCCTGACGAGCAGGGACTTCAGCAGGTCCTCCAGCTGCTTAAAGACTCCCAGTCACCTGACACCGTCACACAGAGAACTGTCCAGCAAGTATCCTTCTGTAGTGTGGTTGTTGAGATTGCGTTAGGGAAATTAATTGCAGTTACATATTATGCAATGCCCAATAAATACTGAATTCAAATAAAATATCCAAGATGGCTAAAGCTACATTTAAATCGCTTTAAGTAAGCTATTGTTACACATACAGAGAAAAAAATTGGTGGTCATAGCCATGAGAACATTCCTCATCACATACTGAATTCAAATTAAAAAATACAAGATGGCTACCATAGCTTAAAAGAAAAAAATGACTATATAATTAATTTATTTATTCATTTACTTGTTTATTTTTGATCGTATTGAGCTGAAATTTGATATGATGAACCCAAACACATAGTAATGTCAAATTAAAAATGGTCGCCACATGGCAGTCCCCATCAAAGTTTCTTCACGAACTTTCTAGTTTTAAAGCTTGTGCAGCAGCAGTTTGTTCTGAAACGTGTTAGAACTGCATTATTAAGTCAAAAGACATGATTTAACTTTTTTTTGTGATCAAGAGTTCATAGTTTACCACGTTTAGAGTTTTAAAAGTGTTGCCAGATCTATAGATCTTAGTAATTTTGTTCAAAAGGAAATCCTGTCGGGAGACAACTATTTGCATAATTTTATATTCAACTGTTGGGCAGTTGCTAAGCAATAATACTCACCGTATCCAGTACACACTTCCTAATCTGTATGAAATGTTGCATTCAAATGTTTGTAAATTACTCTCAATCTGAAATTAGCTGCATAATTGGGAAGTTGAAATGCTCCTTAACGATCTTACTAGAAACTTGAACAACTCAATCAGTTTCCGGACTTCAACAACTATCTCATCTTTGTGCTAACACGACTTAAAACTGAAGGTGAGTTGTGTTTTTCTTCTTTTCACCCAGAGTTTGTCTCTCAAACTTTTCTAATATGAATCAGTCATTTTAATGTTTTACATATTTTCTTTCAGACTGCACCTATAGCCCAACCATCTTATAACTTGTTTAAAAGACGTAGCTGTAATCTGACTCTGGTAGATCTAATCATGACATTAACAAACGTGTTTCATTTGCAAGAAACTTCCTGTTTGTCCACAGCTGCCTCTGTGTGTTTACTTGGTTTAAGAACAGTAAGAGCTTATCGTTTTTGGTACATATACTTGCAGTTTCAGTATAGTATAAAAAAAAAACTTGATCTCATTTATTAGTTTTACACAAACCGTGTAGATTATAAACAGAAATGTAAGAGGAGCGCAGTGTTGTATAATTTGATGCTGCTGGATGAAACACCACTGATTCTTGATTAAAAAAAATTAACAAAAATTTTATGTAGCAGAGTTCATTTAAATAAAATTAATTTAATAAAAGTTTTTTTTTTTTTTACTTCTTATCCAGTATCCATTCCATTCCTCATGCACATTTGTGGTTTTTACACTTTCCTTTCAGATGAACCGACTCGCTCTTTAAGTGGTTTGATACTGAAGAACAATGTCAAGGCCCACTACCAGAACTTCCCTCCGGCTGTTTCTGATTTCATCAAACAGGAATGCCTCAACAACATTGGTGATCCCTCACCGCTCATTCGTGCCACCATCGGTGAGATTATTTGTTCCGACAGTTTTGTTTTCTTAAAAGTAGTTTTTTGGGGCCTGGCCTCCATTCTGTGTCACCCCTTCTTTCTGTTACCTTCTGGAGATGATGCATAAAAACATCTGACTTACCATGAAGGTGTTTGTATTCATACTGTCTGATCCAGACCTACTGCAAATGCAGCTGAGTGTGGTTATGTAGATTATAAATCTGATCTAAAGGCTGCCTTTTGTTCTCCTCTAGGCATTCTTATCACTACCATTTCATCCAAAGGAGAGCTGCAAACATGGCCAGAGCTGCTGCCCCAGCTCTGCAACTTACTCAACTCTGAGGACTACAGCACCTGTGAGGTAACTACCTGTGTGCAATGTCGTCTTTGCTCCTGAAAGCTCTAACTACACTGAAACGGGTGCTTTGACATCTTATAGCAGATTATAAAATGTATTTTTATTGACATAATTGTGCTGAATATTGCAAAGAAGAGATGATAAAGGTTAAATTCTTCCCACTGTGGAAGGCACAGCAAGACGATCAAAAAGGTCAAAGTTTGTGCACGCACAAGGCATGGGCCAGTTTCAAACCCACTGATGTTTTTTCTTTGTCTTACCATTCCTGCTGTTTAAATTCCTTTAGTGAGATGTCAGACAGTGTTTTTTTCCTTCAGTTGTATGAAATGCAGTCTCACCTCCCCTACTTGCTGCTGTGAGCTGTCAGTCAGCTGTGTGTGACACCTGAGAGGAGAATTCACTCAAAACTGTAACGGCTGTCAAAAATGCAGTATTTTGGTGTTTTTTTTCTTAGAATCGTTATATTTAACCCATTTTCTACATTGTTAAATGATTGATTGCGTTTGATATAACTCAAACTTACCAGGGTTTTTTGGGAAAATTACATTAGCAAACGACAAATATTCCTTGCTTTTGTTTACAACTAAGTTTGGCAATTAGTTAAAAGGTGGCTCCACAGTTTAGAAGGTAAAACTGAAAAGGCCCAGTTATCTTGACCAGCCTGGATCTCAGGAAAACTAAAAGCAAAACGATCATCAGATCTAAGGGATCTGGAGGGCACATAAGACTGCAGGAGATCAGAAAGCTATACACGAGAAGAAGAAAAAACTTTTGTCTTTTCACTTGTCTTTCACTCTTCATCCTGGTGTCTCTGATTCCTTTGATTTTACCAACTTCTTCTTCGTTCTTCAGTGCCAAGACTGTCCAAAGTACTCGTCACTGTCTGAATGTAAACAAACGGCTCATAGTTGTTGGCAACAAAACATGATTCTGCTGATTTATAACAAATTATGCTAGACTTTTGATAGTAAAGTTTGTGTATTAAGTAGGTAATTTTAATTAGACTAAACGCATACCAAAAAATTGAAACCAAAACATTAAAAAATTGCATATTTTGACAGCTAAAACTTTAAGAAATGCTTTTAAACTGTTTCCCGTCAAGACAAAAAAAAGGCAACCATTTTTAAAATAACAATACAGTAGTGAAAAACACAATGTTGTCTTGTTTACCAGATAAGTAACACCCAACACCATTTATAAAATGCTGTTCATAAACAAATATTTACAACAATCCATGAGGGTTGGCATGTGTGCCGCTTTAATAAACCAACAGCTGGATCGCTATTCAGACAAACTAGTCATCAGCTGGTCAGTTTCAATGTTGTCACAAAGAAGAAAACCATAAGTTATTGTCTACTCAATAAGCACATTTTCTTTCAATCTAAAGCTACATTTAGCTGATTACACTTCGCCTTTGTACATAAAAAATGTATTTTAAAACTGATTTTATATTTTTTGAGGGCAGACTCATCATATCTTTATGTATCTGTCAATTAAAGTTTGAATATCTTTATACATATAGCTTATAATAAGTTTTTATTAAATGATTATCTGATATTTAAGCAGCTGTAGTAATAGCAGTCGCATTTCTGTTTTCATTTTTAAATAGAAGCATTTAGTTCATGCATTTTTTTTGTTGGACGTTTTTGTTTTATAACATGAAACTGATAATAACTTGTGTGGTTATTCATATTATCAGTCTCATACTGGCCCATGCCTAAAGTACCTGATACATGTACAGGGCTCATTTAGAAAAAGGGCAGACATGCTAGACAATTTATCTGGAGGTTTTGGCTATACTTCATGGACGCCATTTGTAACATAGGTTAGGGACTTTTTAGTTGGAACATGTTAAATGAACTGCAGGGGTTAAGCCTATGTCTAAAATCTTGTGATTCAGAACAAAATCCATTGTGAAGCTGATATGGTTAGTTTTACAACACAGGTGTCTGTCCCAGTTACGCGCCCTCTTTAACCATCATATGTTATGCAGGAGATAAAAAATTAAACTCATGAAAGTGTTGTTGCCAAACCTGTTTTGATTGTAAAAAATAAAAAATGTTACTGTTTCTTACACTTGTGCTTTTAAAAGTCACTGTGCAGTGATTCGTTTTCCTCCAGTTTGATCTTCTGATGCCGTCTCGTTCTCTCCTCTTTGTCCGTGTATGTTTGCGTTTTGATTTGACAGCCTCTCTGTGTATGTCCGTGTCTCAGGGCTCGTTCGGTGCGCTGCAGAAGATCTGCGAGGACTCGTCGGAGCTGTTGGACAGCGATGCTCTGAACAGACCCCTCAACTTTATGATACCTAAATTCCTTCAGTTCTTCAAGCATTGCAGTCCAAAGATTAGGTACAGGAGAGAGCAGAAAGTATTGTTTGACACAGGAAACTGGGCGTGATGCATACTAACATCTGACTGACAGTGAAGGTGTTGTGGTATTCATACTGTCTGATCCAGTTACTCCGATGTCCCAGTCATATTTATCTTTTTAGTAGGACTATTTTATTTCATAATATAAGGTGCAGTAAAGAAATCGTGCAGTCAGATTAGTGGAAAAAGTTGTTTTTTTTGCAGCTCCGAACGGTGTTAAAGTGGAGGTAGATTAGATACTAGATTACAAAATTCATTGAACATCTGTATAATTAAGGGGAAATGTCTTCATCTTTTAGCAGCAGTGTCTTTTTAAAATGTGTTTTTATGTTTTAGTCTTTTTTTTAATCACACTAAACTTAAAATGTCTGTCCACATGTATTGTAGTGACCAGCTTCCCTTCAGATGTTTTTTGTTTTGTTTCTATGCAATGATTTCTCCTGTCATCCTCTAGATCTCATGCTATAGCTTGTGTGAACCAGTTTATCATTGGCAGAGCCCAGGCTCTAATGGAGAACATTGACACCTTCATAGAGGTAAAGCTGTGTGTTTGGGGCTAGTTTCCAAGTTTGAACTAAAAAGGTCTTTTTTTCACATTATTTTGTGTAATCTTGCTCCCTTTCAGAGTCTGTTTGTTCTGGCAGCAGATGAAGATTCGGAGGTCAGGAAGAATGTGTGTCGAGCTTTGGTCATGTTGCTGGAGGTCCGCATTGACCGTCTTATCCCCCACATGCACAACCTCATCCAGGTAAGTGCTGGACCACATAGCAACGTGAGAGAACTTTGTGCCACAAAACTCAAGCAAGCATCTGTCTGGACATGATGAGAAACCCAGCTCATTGATTTTACCTCATGATACCTAAAGTTCCTATATTTCTGATCCAGATCTGCCGGGATTCTGTGTCTGGGTGTTGCACATTTGTGAATTTATTCCGATTATATAAACTCGTCGTGTCTCTTGCAGTACATGCTGCAGCGAACTCAAGACCCTGATGACAGCGTGGCTCTGGAGGCCTGTGAGTTCTGGTTGACTATAGCAGAACAGCCCATTTGTAAGGAGGTTCTGTCTGTTCACCTGATGCAGTGAGTTGCTTATAAACTATTCATGTATTCTGTGTAGCTTTTAATCATTTAAGTTGTTTGAAGTAACTTCAACAATCTCAAGTAATTTATTTTATTTTATTTTTTTATATTACTTAGACTGATTCCAATTTTGGTAAAAGGAATGAAGTATTCAGAGATCGACATCATAATACTGAAGGTAAGAACAAAAATACCCATTTGTTTATCGCTGAATACTCTTTTATATACACACACACACACACATACATACACACACACACAAATCAAACTGGATGTCTCTTCTTCCACAACAAATGTGAGTACACCTAACAAACAATTATTAATGAAGTTGGAGCTGAAATTGCATCAAATGTTGTTTTTTTTCCAACCAGTCATGTTCAAGATGATTGTAGCTACAGTGTTTCTGTTTCCCACTCCAGGGTGACGTGGAGGAGGATGAGATGGTGCCAGACAGCGAGCACGACATCAAGCCTCGTTTCCACAAGTCTCGCACCGTCACCTTGCAGCACGGAGGAGGGGAGGGAGAGGAGGGGGAAGACTATGATGATGACGACGACGACGATTCACTGTGTGACTGGAATCTGCGTAAGTACCTGCAGAAATGGGTTGATTGTAATCGTCACACTCAGCCTTTCTGATTGAACATTTGCTAAATTAGAAAGGTTTTTAATTTATTTCATATTTTTGTCATTTTGGGGGTGAATGTTTTTAGGAAAACGAAGCATCTGTATGTTTTGAGGCCAGCTGTATTTTTTCCCCCAGAGTAATTTAGTTGGGCTTTTTGTTTTGTTGTAGGAAAGTGTTCGGCTGCAGCACTCGATGTTCTGGCCAACGTGTTCGGTGACGACCTGCTGCCCCACCTCCTGCCACTTCTCAAAGGGCTGCTCTTCCACCCCGACTGGGTCGTCAAAGAGTCCGGCATCTTGGTTTTGGGGGCCATTGCAGAAGGTAAATTTCTTCATACAAAATGCTGCTTTTTTGGGGAGTGGTGGCGCAGAGGTTAGAGAGGTGGGCTTGTGATCCGAAGATCGCCGGTTCACACCCCGGCCCCGACAACATCAAAAATTGTGGGTGGGGTAGGTGAAACACCCACACTTGCCCCCACCCTCATTCACCCCACTCTGGGCCCATGAGCAAGGCCCTTAACCCCCACCATGTGCTCCCTAAACAGGTCTCTCTTGAAAATGAGTTCTCGTGGCTCAATGAGACTAACCTGGATAAATAAAGGCTAGATAATGATCTAAATGTTTGTGTTCTGAAAGTCACTTTATGTGGCTGTTTCCTGGAATTATAGAGGCATTTCTGATTTTTTTTTTTTTATTGAGTGGCACATTTTAGCAAATCCACCATTTCATGATCTTTTCTGTAATAAATTGTGCTTTAATTTAAGCAAACCTTCAAAAGAAGACAAATTTATGTTAAAATATTGTAAGACATTTTAAAATGTCTATTTGGAAAATAACGCAGAGTAATGCAAATCAGGACCTTGTGCATTTAAACATGATTAGACATTTAATCTAAAGAACATCAAATAATCAAAAAAAATTGTGGATTTTGTTTATTCTGCTAAATAATATCTGCATGATTAGTTTTAAGATGAATATTTGCTCTAAAATATTAAAGAAGATTTAAAAATGTATTGTTCTATTGTCGTTCAATAATCCTGTGATCTTTGTGCCTGTCACAACCCAGGCTGTATGCAGGGCATGTTGCCCTATCTGCCGGAGCTCATCCCCCACCTCATCCAGTGTCTGAGCGACAAGAAGGCCCTGGTACGCTCCATCGCCTGCTGGACCCTGAGTCGCTATGCACACTGGGTAGTCTCCCAGCCCCCTGACTCCTACCTCAAGCCTCTTATGACGGAGCTTCTGAAACGTATCTTAGACAGAAACAAGAGGGTTCAGGAGGCCGCCTGCAGGTGAGCAGTTTTACACGCCTTTCCTTTATTGGTGGACATGATGAAACACCCAGCTCATTGATAAACAATGATACACTTTGTTCCCAAATGTATTTCTGATCCACATCTGTGTTTTATTTTAAATTTTAATGAACATTTATTTTAATGTAATGAGCTTCATTTTGTTTTTTTTAGTGCTTTTGCCACTCTGGAGGAAGAGGCGTGCACAGAGCTGGTGCCCTACCTGAGTTTCATCCTGGACACTCTGGTGTTTGCCTTTGGGAAGTACCAACACAAGAACCTGCTCATCCTGTATGATGCTATTGGAACTTTAGCCGATTCAGTGGGTCACCACCTCAATCAACCTGTAAGTGGCTACACCCCCCCCCCCCCCGTTTTTATTCAGAGAAGGTTTTCAAACAAAAATTTAAAATGATTTGATCAAATTAGTGCACAGATGGGACATTCAAAAGGATGAAGAAGCTTGCTCCTTAAAACTACAAATCTGCTTATTTCTTTTAAATGTGACTGTGCACGAGTTCATTATGTTTTATGGCTAACAAAAATTAAATAATAAAAACAAAATAAGTATGCATAGTTGCATAAAAATGGCCTCACCAGGTATTTTTATTTTTAATGCTGAAGTCATTTGTTCTTTGTTGTAGGAGTACATTCAGAAGTTGATGCCTCCATTAATTGCGAAGTGGAATGAGCTGAAGGATGAAGACAAGGACCTTTTCCCACTACTAGAAGTAAGTAGGCAAATATTGTAAAATGTATGTAAAACAAAAACTTGACAAAATGGTACATCTAGTTTCTAGACTTGAGACTTCTTTACTTAAAACACTTCAGTTTAGTTTAGTTTTTCAGTCACTGACCAAAAATTTCCTCCAGTGTCTGTCATCAGTGGCTACAGCCCTGCAGAGTGGCTTCCTGCCTTACTGTGAACCAGTTTACCAGCGCTGTGTCACCCTGGTCCAGAAGACTCTTGCTCAGGCTATGGTGAGACTTCAAACTAAATAAAAACATTTATTATTATTATTAGACCTTTACACTTGAAATGAGAAGGAGAATGAAATGCATCTGCTGTCTCCAGATGTACAACCAGCATCCTGACCAGTATGAGGCTCCTGACAAGGATTTCATGATTGTGGCCCTGGATCTGCTAAGCGGACTGGCTGAGGGTCTCGGGACTCAAGTGGACCAGCTGGTGGCTCGCTCAAATATCATGACCCTGCTGTTCCAGTGCATGCAGGACACGATGCCTGAAGTGAGACAAAGCTCCTTTGCTCTGCTGGGAGATCTAACGAAGGCGTGTTTCCCCCATGTGAAGCCCTGCATCGGTGAGTGAGTTTCAGCAATTGTTGTTTCCCCATACGGTTTTATTTTTAACGAGGGGTTGTTGCAGATAGAAACATGTAAAGTAAATTTATAACCAGTTTCTTTCCTCCCCTCCAGCTGAATTTATGCCCATCCTGGGGCTCAACTTGAACCCAGAGTTTATCTCCGTGTGTAACAACGCCACCTGGGCCATCGGAGAGATTGCCATGCAAATGGGTAAGACCGTTGTAGATGGCATTTTTGTGTTGCACATGGATCCCTGTCGTATTGATACAAAGTTGTCAGTATCTGGACATGATGAAACACCCAGCTCATTGATACCAAATGATACATTTTGTTCCTATAATGTTCTGATCCAGATATTGTGAGCTTTTATGTTGCACTAGACTTTGTGATGCTCTTAGAGCAGTGGTTCCCAACCCTGGTCCTTGAGGAACACTATCCTGCATGTTTTAGTTGTTTCCCAGCTCCAACACATGTGATTTAATGACTTCCTCAAGTTCTTCAGAAGCTGGTTAATCACCCATTCATTCAAATCAGGTGTGTCAAAGCAGGGAATGGTGTTCCTCAAGGACCAGAGTTGGGAACCACTGTTTTAGAACGTGTAAAAATAAAACATGTGCAGCCTTTTGATAAAACATCCCAAATGTGAAAACAAGCTGTTTCTCTGAAACCCTTAGCCCTGTGAACACACAGCTATACACAAGATAATCAGTAATTCTTTGATTCTACTTATGTTTGTTTTGTTGTTTAGGTGCAGAGATGCAGCCCTATGTGGGCATAGTCCTGCCACAGCTGGTGGAGATCATCAATAGACCAAACACCCCCAAAACTCTACTGGAAAACACAGGTACAGACATGCTCGCACAAGCTGTGTTCAAGCTGTATAGCTGATGGCCTCAGTTGAAGGTTTTGTTTCTCTTCTTTTGTAGCCATCACAATTGGCAGGCTTGGTTTTGTCTGTCCTCAGGAAGTGGCTCCACAGCTGCAGCGTTTCATCAGACCATGGTGAGCCTCGTCTGTGACCATTTCAACCAGATATCCAGTCAATAGATTTAAAGTGTCAACTGCCACATTTATAAAAAATGTTAAAGTGTCTATAAATAACATTCACAAAAACATCAAACAATCTGACATCAGTGTTGTGGCACATCTGGAGGAGTTATAACTGAGTACATCTTTTTGTTACTCCTCCAGGTGCACCTCATTGAGGAATATCAGAGACAACGAGGAGAAGGACTCGGCCTTTCGGGGAATCTGTGTTATGATTCAGGTTAATCCTGCAGGAGTGGTGCAGGTGAGGATCATTCTTCAGAAGTTATCAAATAAATTCAGCCCGAGTTAAACATTTTGCATTGTCTCTGTCCAGGACTTCATTTTCTTCTGTGATGCGGTGGCTTCGTGGGTCAACCCAAAGGATGACCTGCGAGACATGTTTTACAAGGTGAGTTTGTCATTACCAGGAAAAAGACGATCGCTTTGAGATGGACGTGTAGTTCTGGTTCACCACACTCTGTGATGATCACCCATCAGACACTCGAAATCTGATTCACAAAGTGCGGATGATTTTGATCCTGAGAGTTGTGGTGAAGGCTTGTATTTAAAAAAAAACTGTTAACATTCAATAAAACGATCAATGATTCATTTAAAAACTCTGTGAAGATGGGTAGATGTTGACAGTTTAAAAAAAAATGCCTCTAAATGCTTTCAAAGCTAAAGAGAAATTACTAATACGTCATATCCTCTTAAAGCTTTTAACAAAATGAGTGAAAGGAGGTGATAAAATGGTGCTTGTGCACCATTTTGGATAAATGGACCTAAGCTCCAGTTATGCTCCCAGCTCAGTTACTTAATGAAAACTACCATGAGATACACCACAGCAGTAACTGTTGTGTTTACCGATTACATTTAGAAACACAGCCTAGTTTGTAAAAGGCAGGTATGATTTCTGCTTCAGCAGCCCAGTCATCATTTCCTGGGTTAGCAGAGCTGCTTCAAGACATTTTTAGGTGAGGAACTGTTTTCTTTTTTTTTTTTTTTTTTTTTTAGATCCTGCACAGCTTCAAGGACCAGGTTGGAGAAGAGAACTGGCAGAAGTTCTCGGAGCAGTTCCCTCCTGTGTTAAAAGAGCGCCTGTCAGCCTGTTATGGTGTCTAACAACTATTCCCTCGGTCCACTGGCCTACTGGGTAAGTCTACGTCGCAGATGTGTAACCTGCCTTCTGTTCTGGATGTGATGAAACACCCAGCTCATTGAGAACTAATGATACATTTTGTTCCCAAATTTCCTTTCCGATCCAGAATCACCAACACAGCTGCTCTGAACCCCTCCTGCTTTTATGTAAAGTGACCTTTTTTTGTTCTTCTGTTTTTTTTCCTCAGGTTAATGAATGGGAGGGTAACAGGGGAACTCATTGCACTGCCCAAATCACAGGGAGGAACTCGTACTGGAGGGACACGGCGAGCCTCGAGCCTCCACACTGCGGATGTCCTCCTTTCTCCGTGCGCCGTTCATCTCCATTAGGGAGGGTGGGAGGAGGGTGGTGGGTGTGGGAGGGTAACCTGGGGATATACATATACCTCTCAAATTAAATGCCCCCCGCTACACACAGAAGCAACTTTTGCCAACACCGCTGCAGGGATCCAAAGCAGGCGAGGGCACAATCAGGGCAGAGCTGGACCTCCCCCGTTTTTATTGGATCATCCTCGTAAAATGAATGTTGGGAGGAACAGGAGGGGGGGGTGTTGCAGATGGGTACAAAATCAAATGATCCAAACCAGCATAGGGTGCCACAGTCCCAAATACTAAAATGCATGTAGACTGACTCACATGAAGCTGTGTTTAACACAGGCTGGTGCCAGAGCCTGGACAGAAAATAGATGCTTTTACTGTGCACAGAAAATGAGAAAAACTTGCACCTTTTACTGCAAACTGCATTACTTTATGATGTGCATTCATACGAGTTTGTCCTTACATGTACATTTAGTTGGATTTCTTTTCTTTTTTTCCATTGCAGAGTTCTTCTCTAAATGTAGTAGTATATTTATTTCTCCTTTAAACGAGCCAATAAAGATGCAGTACACCTGTCCTCTAAGGTTTATACCAAAATACTGCATGATCACCTCATTAGTTGCATGTTTCTATGAATGTCTTTGGTTTCTAACATTAGTAATCTGTATGAGGAAGCTGCCATAATTGAAAGGCTAATCATTGTCTATAGTTTTAAGGAAGGTTGCTTGTGTTGAGGCTGACTGTAGGTGGACTAATTCAGGAATCGGCTCGCGTTTGATTAACCCGACGAGAGTTGAAATACTGTAAGCAGATTGAGAATCATATATGCTGCTGCTGCTTCGTTCGTAGTATATTTAAATAATGAAGTTAATGAAGACGTCTTCATGAATGAATTGGTTTCTTACTGGTTTAAATGCACTTTTTCTTTTCTGAGAAATTAGAATTACTGATGTAAGACGTACTTATATTGAACTTGTTAGTTTTTTTTTGACAAGTGATTTTAGGACTGTTGTAAGCATAACTATGACACACAAAAGTGTATTAACTTGGCAGGACTTGTTTTTTTTTTTATAATGTAGCTCCAATAATTGACAGGAATTAAACGTATGTGGGGAGGTGAGGGTCATAGGAGATTAGTCCTAATGCTGCACCCGATAAGCGCCTAAACCTGTTCCCCACGGCTATTAAAGCTTCCTGGTTGTTTCAAAGTTCTTTACATAAACCTTGCACAGGTTTTTTTTTTTTCCCCAACTCGATCTCTTTTTACCCTAAAGAGTTCTTGTTAGTGGTGATGCAACTAGCTGCTGGACTCGTGCGGTACTTTTCCAGCTTCTGTTCAAACTAATGATTATTGCCATATATTCACCCGCTGACACTGTGTAGGTTCTGCCTGGGATTTTACAAAGTCCTGTTAGTCCTCTCTTTTAGCTTATCTAAAATGAGTGGGGTTTTTTTTCTATCTTTTAGTCTTTCTTCATAGTGGACGGTTGTACTGCAAATGTGCACGACTCTTTGCCTCGTGGCGTTTACAAGAAACGACTTCTAGACAGATTTTTACACCAGCCCTACTTTAAAGCAGTTTTTAGGGGGGCAGTTTAAAATGAGCCTGTTTAAATGTAGCCCCCTGGTTTCTTTATATTTAGCCAGTCAATTAAAAATCAGGTTGCTCAAATGGTTTTAAATTAAGGTTATTTTTGAGGAAAGAAATGTTAAAGAATGTTATTCCTTACTGGTTTAAAAAAAAAAAAAAAAGCATGATGTCACCTGTATGTGGATTATGTATTTAGTAGAATAAGCATTAATGTGACAATTGTTTTTATTTTCTTGCAGTTAGGACATTAAGATTAACCACTTCCCTAAACTCCACTGTGGGTTTAACTGTTTTGAAATGGAATACAGGCTGAAGTAAAGTTTTAAGGTTTATTCTGTTGGATGCAGCTCTTGTGATTTAGATTTGTTAATAACAAAAAGAAACCGGGCTTTGTCATTAATTTTTATGCTTAGAAAAGAAATGCACAAAGTTGAAGCTAAATGCAAGTTTTATTTTTTTTATATTTTAATTGTGCCGCAGTGCACAAATTGTTTTGGACTTTAAAAGTTTTTGTTTTCCTTTTTATTCTTTTTATTTAAAGAGCCATTCTGTTTGTTGTTTTACAGCATAAATACTGGTTAGGTCAGATTTACTGAAGATTATAATGTTGAGAGCAAATGCATCGTGGAGGAAAAACAAATTTACAACTTCTTTTTCACTTTGATACCAAGGCTGACAACTGAATTAATGTAGTAGCAATTCTTTTGCTGAAAGGTGGCACAGGTTTTATGTAAGTTAAATGTATTTTTTGTGGATAGAAGGAAAAAATAAAAACTTCTAAGCTTCGAGTCAGCTGGAAAATTGTGTGTATAATCCACATTGAAACGATCGATGTGAAAATCTCTGCAACCTAATTTACTTGAAGTGCTAAATGTTCCTGGAGCTCCAACGGTAAAAAACAAAGCTGTCGTTCTGGGAGTTTGCTCATTGTTTTGTTTATAATTTTCTACAAATTAAAACGGCTCAATTTAAACCCTGGAGTGCCAAATCTTTGTATTTTTCATATTCTATTATGAATTAAACAAGTTCTACTAAAATAAAAATAGTGTTGAAATAAAACGGTAATTTAAATTACTCAGTTCGTTTTAAAACCCTTATGTGCTCATAAATGGGACTAGGACTACACGTCATTGAGTCCACGTGGCTCAATGAGACTAACCTAGTTGAATGAAAAAACGCATAAATTTACTTGGGTGTTTTTTGGGTTTTTTTATAGTTTGCATTCTTTGTTCATAAGCCACAGCTGAATGACAAACAGCTTTTAAAGAATAATGTGTAATGAACATGGTCTGAAGTTTCATTAAATAAGACTTGTTGGGGAGGAAAAGTAATAATCCTATAATCCTGTTTTGTATTCAGGTAAATGAAATACAACTCCAAATGGCTTGTACTTGAAACTAGCATGTCATACGTAGAGGGCAAAAACGTAAAATGTATTTTTTTCGAGACGGGATAACTTTTAAGTTATGACGTTTTTCATCCAAATTTGTAAATTTTGACTGAAAAAGAATCTGGTTTAACGACAGTTCAAGTCCACGACCCAACAACGCAATTGTGAAAAAAATAATTTGTGGTGCCGCAAATAAGACTATATTTAAGCGACAAACCTACGCAAGTTACATGTTTAACGAGTATAAAGTGCAGCTGCATCATCGAGATTAATATACTTCATATTAATAAAACTGATATATATATATATATATATTATAATGAGCTTTATTTCAACCAGACAATATTACAAAAATCTTCCAATCCAAAGAAGCGTCAAAACACAAAAAAAAGATGCATAACTATCACAGACCCCATCAAATTAGACCTCACAGTTCTTAACTAAATATAAATACAACTATCTCTACAGATATACAAAAATAAACAAGTTTAAATAGCAAAGGGTCTGAAACTATAAAGAAATACAAACCGGATTCCAAAAAAGTTGGGACACTAAACAAATTGTGAATAGAAACTGAATGCAATGATGTGGAGATGGCAAATTTCAATATTTTATTTGTAATATAACTTAGATGACAGATCAAAAGTTTAATCTGAGTAAATGTAACATTTTAAAGGAAAAATATGTTGATTCAAAATTTCAGTGTCAACAAATCCCAAAAAAGTTGGGACAAGTAGCAATAAGTGGCTGGAAAAAGGAAATTGAGCATATAACGAACAGCTGGAAGACCAATTAACACTAATTAGGTCAATTGACAACATGATTGGGTATAAAAAGAGCTTCTCAGAGTGTCAGTGTCTCTCAGAAGCCAAGATGGTAAGAGGATCACCAATTCCACCATTGTTGCGCAGAAAAATAGTGCAGCAATACCAGAATGGTGTTACCCAGCGTAAAATAGCAAATACTTTTAAGTTATCATCATCAACCGTGCATAACATCATCAAAAGATTCAGAGAATCTGGAACAATCGCTGTGCGTAAGGGTCAAACTACTGGATGCTCGTGATCTCTGGGCCCTTAAATGTCACTGTACCTCAAACATGAATGCCACTGTCAAGGAAATAACAGAATGGGCTCAGGAATACTTCCAGAAAGCATCGTCAGTGAACACAATCCACCGTGCCATCCGCCGTTGCCAGCTGAAACTCTACAGTGCAAAGAGGAAGCCATTTCTAAGCAAGCTCCACAAGCTCAGACGTTTGCACTGGGCCAGGGGTCATTTAAAATGGAGTGTGGCAAAATGGAAGACTGTTCTGTGGTCAGATGAGTCACAATTTGAAGTTCTTTATGGAACACTGGGACGCCATGTCATCCGGACCAGAGAGGACAAGGATAGCCCAAGTTGTTATCAACGCTCCGTTCAGAAGCCTGCATCACTGATGGTATGGGGTTGCATGAGCGCTTGTGGCATGGGCAGCTTGCATGTCTGGAAAGGCACCATTAATGCAGAGAACTATGTTCAGTTTCTAGAACAACATATGCTCCCATCTAGACGTCATCTCTTTCAGGGAAGACCCTGCATTTTTCAACACGATAATGCCAGACCACATTCTGCAGCAATCACAACATCATGGCTACGTAGGAGAAGGATCCAGGTACTGAAATGGCCAAACTGCAGTCCAGATCTTTCACCTATAGAGAAAATTTGGTGCATCATAAAGAGGAAGGTGCGACAAAGAAGGCCCAAGACGATTGAACAGTTAGAGGCCTGTATTAGACATGAATGGGAGAGCATTCCTATTTCTAAACTTGAGAAACTGGTCTCCTCTGTCCCCAGACGTCTGTTGAGTGTTGTAAGAAGAAGGGGGGACGCCACACAGTGGTAAAAATGGACTTGTCCCAACTTTTTTGGGATTTGTTGATGCCATGAAATTTGCAAACAACAGATTTTTCCCTTAAAATGATACATTCTCTCAGTTTAAACTTTTGATCTGTGATTTGTGTTCTATTCTGAATAAAATATTAAATGTTGGCACCTCCACGTCATTGCATTCAGTTTTTATTCACAATTTGTTTAGTGTCCCATCTTTTTTGGAATCCAGTTTGTACAATACAAAGAGAAAAGGAATAATAAACAACAAAGGGATCTGCTTATGGGATAAAATTAAATTTCTGAATAAGAGTTTTTGTTAGAAGTTTATTGTTAAAATTAAGCTTTTCAATAGAGGCAATATATATTTTTAGGTCAGTTTCTTTAAAATTATTAAATGAGGGTTTTTTTTTTCATTCCACATCATTTTGTGTATATAATATTTTGCTAAGATAATTAATTTATTATAATAATAAAACTGATGTATGTCAATGTGGGATGACGAACAATCGAGGGAAGTTGGGGAGGTGAACGGTGCGTAACGTGATGACGTTGCTATTACGTAACGACGTCGGAAGTTGTTGAACCGTTTGACAGGAAACGGCAGAAGCTTCTGTTTTGATTTTATCAGCGGTTTCACGCAGTTTTTTTTTATTTTAAAGGCTCGTTAATGGTAACGGTAATATTTAAAGCTAAAAGTAAACCGATATTTTTCTAGCTTAGTTGTGCGTTTCGCTGTTTAGTACCAATATATGAAATTACACGTTTATCCATAACTGAAATCTTTATTGTTACCTTTGCACATGAACAGGCTTAGCAAAATTCTATCTCCGAGCTAATATTTATGACATGTCATTAGTATTTTTTTTAACATATCAGCTAAAGGTATGTTGGCTTCCACTCAGTGAGTGAGTTAGTTGGTGGAGATCGAGGGTGATGTCTGAGATTAGAGTCAACCTGACTGAAGCAGGAACACATGAAGACCCAGCTGGACCAAGTCCTGACCCTGTGAAAACTGCTGGCAGACCAGACCTGCAGGGGTATGGTTGTTTTTTTTTGTCTCCTCCCAGTGATCTATTATTAATGTTAAAATAAGAAGTGAGTCACATTGTTTTTCTGCTTTAGCTTGCTGCCTGCTGTCAGCTCCTCTTCAGCCGATGTGAGCCCTTCACCTTCTGCCGAGCCCAGCGGCTTGTTGTCATTACCATGGGAGATCTTAACACACATTGCCTCACACCTTCCTGCTCAGTGCATAATCAATGTGCTGCCAAAGGTAAGACTGAAAGATTTTCAAACATTTCAAGTTTCACGAGCTACTAAAAGTGATACATTTTTCAATCAACCTTTATATATACAGGTAAAATCCCATTGAGCCTCGAGGACTCATTTACAAGAGAGACCTGAAATTTTTACTTCCTATTTATGGAAAGTTTTACTTTTTTAATCAACAATTAACAACAAACAAACAAACACCCTCACCCAGACACCAACCTCTAACAAACGGGTAGAAAGAAAATATATTTTTAAAGGAAATAAAAACATGTATATGCACAAAGGTTATTTCAAATGACACAGCCTTATTGGACAAAATCAGCTTTTTTTTTTTTCCCCGGTTAAAGAAAATAAAGGATATTTATACATTTTGTATATGTAGGTGGTGCAGCAAATTTCCAATTTCATTATTAGCCTCCTGGCCAGGAAAGTTGTATATGCTATTAAGAGCTTTTTAGTAGATGAGAGAACAAGTGAAATAGGCCATACCCCAAATAGAGCAGTTAAGGCATTACAGAACAATATCGCCCACAAGGTGAACTTCTTGAAATTATAGTTTTTTGTGTAATAAGCAAATAATCCACTAATTTCTTACCTTTAGGAAAACAACTGGACTCTGTTCTGTAGTCCACTTGTTTTTTTCTTTAACCTTTTTTTTTATTTACCATATCCTGAATGATTGAGAATCTTCACCAGCATCCTTCTTTCCTCCATTTCAGGTATGTCATGTGTTGAGTACTGTGGGTGAGGACAGCACTGCTTGGCAGCTACGAGCAAAGAGACTAATCGGGTCAAAAGCCATCTTTCCCGTAGGGCCGAGGGAAAACTTTGACTGGCCTACAGCTTGCCTGGAGATAGAGAAGCTAATAACTTGCTGGACAGGTGAAGCCCAACACAAAGCTAGACAGACCCGAGAGAATGAGGAGGAGAGAGATCGGGTGAGTCTGCAGGGGAGGGCGCCAATTGCAGAAGGACAGGAAGATGCTGGAGGAGATGAGTTACAAGGAGTGGGAGTGGCGGCGCAGGAAGTAGCTTATGGTGCTGATGAAGGCATAGAGGTAGTACTGGAAGCTGAGAATGGTGAAATGCAGCCAGCCTTAGATGGAGACCAATTGGCAAGATTGAGGATTGCATTAGAGGAGAGGCTGGTGGATGAAGCAGTGGAGTTGGAGGATGGAAGAATTGAGTTAAATGGGGAGCAAGATGCAGCTCTTCACAACCAGGAATTCATGAACCAGGAGGACGACAGAGAACTGGTAGAAGTGATTGATCATCAAGCCTCAAGAAGCCCTAGCCCACCCCCAGCATTAGAGTGCATCACCCTACCTTCAAGTCACATAGCCCAGATCAATTCGGTCCTCCTCCTTGGTGGGGAGGGTGGTATTTGCGCCACAGCTTCCAGAGACTGGAATGTGAAACTTTGGGATCTGCAGTCCGGCTCTAATGGCACACTGCTGCACACATTGGGAAGGCAGGGTGACTTCAGCTCCCATCGAGGCTGGGTGTGGTGCCTGGCATCTGAGGGTCCCCTGTTGGCCTCAGGGGGCTTTGACAGCACAGTGAGGCTGTGGGATCTGCAGGCCGGCGGCGCAGACAGGGGCCTTTTCAGGACAAGAGATGCTGTTCTCTGCTTGTCCTGTCAGACGGATGTGTTGCTGGCTGGTACTTTTGACAAGAAGATCAACATGTATGACACTAGAGGTGAGCGTGTTTGAGATGCTGTTTATGTCAAGTATTCGTTAAGAGTTCATTAAAAAAGTTGTGCAAAACCACGTAGTGCCACTTAACAAAAAATTAAAAAATAATTTGTTTGTTTTTCTCACATGTACAGATGCAGACAAATTTGTTTGTACCCTTTTGTTAAAACAAAAAAACCCACAACGTACACTGAAATAATTTGAAACAGACAAATTAAAATTAAAATGAATCAACTGATGAGAATCATTCACTGTTTTTCAATTGTGGTTTCACAGAATTATTTTTAAAACAAATTAATAAAACTGGTCTTGACAAAAACGATGGTACTCCTAGAAAAGATCGAAGATCGTTTTACTTTAGGGACGTGCTAAACTCAAGTGTGTCCACTGGCGGGCACAGTTCTGCTAATCCGCTAATAGCTAAACTAATTATTGTTGTTTAGCACATTAGCATTTTTTGCTAACTTTTGAAACCGTTAGCAGAATTAGCTTCTGCTAAATTAGGTTTTGCCAAATTCACAAGCTTGTTCCCGTCTGTTGTGAGCGTTTCGAAGAGTTCGTTGGTCGACGCAGCAGCAGCTAGCTGAAGGCACGTCGGGATTCGATCTGGCAACCTTCTTGCTGAGAGGCGTCGGCTTTACCAACTGCGCCATCATGCCACCCTCACAAATGAACCATAACAAATAAAAGAACACGGGACCTTCAGTAAAACAAGGAGCTCAGGAGCTGCTTTGCTGTATCTGGAACAGGAGGGTGTCTTGAATCTGTGCAGGGAACTTGACAAGACTCTCAAGGCATTCAGGAGTGAAATGTGCTGCATGGTGTCAGAAAAACTGGCAACACCAACAGAATAATCCTCCACACAACTAAAAACACCCAAGATTGGCTAAGATCCAAACACTGGACTGTTTGGATGTGACCTTCTGAGCCCTGATCTAAATTCTACTGAACGTCTTTGGAAAGAGCTGAAACATCTGGAGAAGGAACCCTTCAAACCCGATACAGCTGGGGCAGTTTGCTCATGAAGAGTGAGTCAAAATACCTGTGGACAGGTGCAGAAGGCTCAGAGTTTGAGTACCCTCATAATGGTCCATGCCCATTTCATTACTTAACTTGTAAAAATATTTCTGTTGAACCAAAATTCCAGAGCAACGACTGGGAGTTAATTTTCAGTATTTTTTTTCTTCTTCTATTATTTTGTCAGTTTCAAATTATTTTCAGTCACTTCTGTAAAACAAAAAACACACACAAAAAATGGAAGGAAACAATTTGTCCTCATCTATAGTTAGTGTAGTTATAGTACGAGTTAAATAATCCAAAATCATCTGATTACTGAAGCTAATTAACTTGTTTTTCCTGCAGCTGCTGAACCATTGATTAAAAGCCTTAAACTCCATGGCAATGCTGTAATGTGCCTAGCTGCAGACGACAAATACATAATCTCTGGGAGCAAAGACTGCACTGTGGCTGTGTATGACCGCAGAGCAGGCAAAGGCTTGAAGAAAATTCAGGTACATTCAAAGGCAGACGCTCATGTTGCTCAAAATGTTTGTTTTTTGTCTGCATGCTCTCTCATTATGATGATTTCTGTTCTTAGCTGGGGTCCTATTTGCTGTCCATGAGCTACAGCAGTTCTGAGATCTGGGCAGGAGACAACAAAGGCATGCTGCGCTCCTTTTCCATGCAGGATGGAACGTTAAAGCGCCTGTCCCAGTTTGATGTAGGACACACAGCTCTGGTTACTGGTATCCACAGGTCTCATGGAAGCCTCTACAGCTGCTCGTCTGATGGAACGTTCAAGGCAAGCAGAGTTCCAATCTGTCGAACTAATTCTGCTGTGGAGCAGTCTGGTCCTGTAACATATTGTGTCTGTAACGCAGGTTCACATCCCCTGCGCACCTCCAAGGACTTTATCTACTCTTCATTATCAAGCTGGTGTCCACGGGGTCAGTGATTTGACAAATTCTAGCTAGAACTGTACTTCTGCTTATCCAGGAAAATGTTTTTGATTAGTTTCTTTCTAACTTGTTTTATTGATAATGTTCCCATGCTTTTCTCACATTTGCCCCAAATGTTTGTGTCAACCGTCAGCTGAGTGTGGAGGCTGGAGTCCTCGCTGTGGCCTCGGGCGACCTTAATGTGGAAGTCTGGAGACCCAGAAAGTGAGCCTGCTACATCAACGTCCTCATGGGAGGACTTGGAAAAAGAGGTGCGGATAAAAACGGAAACATAACGCGTGCCGATCATCCTGAGGCCTAAACTACAAACCAGTTAATTACCACTGTCGACGTGCCACCTTTGATTGACATCAAGCCCAGGTGAACAACACGTCTTTAAAAAAACTCATACGTTACTGCAAATATTAACTTTTTGCTTAAACCTAATGTAGCCGTCAGTAAAAGCCTTTGAACCATACGAAACACGTAATTATCCTCCAGTATAGCATCTGACAAAACTATAAAACCCCTGAAGCAGCAAATATAAAAACCAAATTGTGTGTTTTTCTTGGAACTTTTTGTGATGGATGTACTATTTTACTTTTGCTCTGCCGTTTATTTTCTTTTTTAAATGAATGACTGTAAATTGAGTCATTTCAAACAAACTTTTATTTATTATATTTAATAAATGTTACCACGTCTGAGTTGATTTTGTATGTTAGACTGTGTTGAAACGGCAGGCATTGAGTATTTTGTGTGAATTACCACGTCTCTCTCTGTGGTACATGAAATAAACAAAGTACTGATCACATACAGTGAAAGGTTTGTTTCCAAGTCCTCTGTGACACAAATCGTGCCATTAAACTTTCTGAAAATCCTCCTGTGTGGTTTTATAAATGAAATCTGATTGATCTCAAATCTTGTGCCTCTTTGAAGGAGGCAGGGGATCGATTTCGGTCGTCATCTCCTCTCAAGTGTCTGAGCAGCAGGCCTTCTGAATTTTGTGGAATGAATAAACGTAAAGGTTTATAAAACTTTTTTCAAATAGACGTCAACATTTTTGACATTCAAGTTGTTTTAAAATGTCAGCAGTCTACTTTAGTTTGTTTTAGCCCGTTGATCAGTCCAAATTCAACTCAGTTTTTCCAAATTGAGGTCGTTTAAAAGGCCATCTACAGCAGGTGACATTATTTTTCAAAACGTTTCCAAGAACCTCATTTTAAACAGATTGAGACTACAGCTTGAAAACATGTTATATTTTTCAGAGGTGGAAAGAAACCCATAACATGTACTCAAGTTACTGGAACTGATTAGTACTTTATGTACTTGTGCATTTAAAAGGATTTTAAAAAATACGTTTACTAGAGTACTTTTTGTACTTGTTCACGTTTTCAAATACATCTACTAACAAGCAGAGAAAAAAAAGGAAATGTACTTTATGCTGAATTTGGAGGCTGGAAACCTCGCTGTGTCTGGTGACGTGTGGAGACCCAGAAAATAAAACTGGAGTTTTTGGTGATAAGTTATTTCATGTTTTTATTTTTTTGTGTGCGTTTGATATTTGTTGTGACATATCATTTGAGTTTGAGCATGTTCATTGAGATAAACTTCCTTTATTGCTTAAGTACAAAGCTGTAACTTCTCATTCACTGCTGTAGACAATTTTAAAAACCACATGAGTTTATATTTGTGATTTACAGTGCACTGAACAAATCACATGCAGCAGTTCTCTGTGACACTAATTAAACCTGAACATCCTGTTGTGTTCCTGTGTGGTTTCATGGATGCAGTGAAGTGTCAGAGCAGCACGCAGGTCTTCTTATCTTTGAAAGGGTTGGACGAGGCAGAGATGCCAGTGATCAACGGGTCGCTGCGCCTGTGCTCCTGGCAGTACTGCACCAGGTCTGCTGCTGTCAAGGAAATCTATTCATTTACAGAACACTTTTAGTAACAATAGCACAAACTTACTGATTTTATAGAACACATATATATATATATATATATATATATATATATATATATATATATATATATATATACATATGTTTATCAATAAAAGTGAGCTTTTTCTTTACAGTAGCATGAGTGTAGGTAATATTTTTACATACCTTGAACCTCTCCATGCTCGCTTCAATTTGCAGCTGATCCACCAGTTTTTGTGCCTGAATAATACTGCTGCTGCTGCTGCACATCTTTCCTGACATTTCCTCAAGTACGGAAACACAGAACAAACGGTGTATACTGAAAAACACTGAATACTAACAAAAGAAGTGGCCTCAGAGAAAGAGTTGGAGCAGTTTCACCTGGTCCAAAGAGTCAGGTGTGCAGGACGGTGTGCTCAGAAAGGGCTCCTGACTTTGGATTTTGACCTGCGTCCCTCTTTTTATTCACTGTTGGGGGACGTTTCAAAGGCTCTGATCGAAAAGGTCAGGGTTGGAAATGTCACAAACATCACACATCGCTCCGCAGCCTCCGATGATGAAAAGACATTATTCTGAATGATCTCCAGGTTGGCTGACTGCAGTAAAACTGCAGTTGTGTGCTTGTGTTTGATAAAATACTTACAAAATAACAATTTAAATTTAGAATAAAAATGTTTCTGGCTGAATGCAAGTTTAAATGAATAAAAACTTTTTTTTTTTTAAATTTGCAATACAAAGAGCTAAACCAGTACTGTGGGGGTTCTGTTTTTATTTTATTCAATTATATTAGAGCTAAAGTACACAATACAGTTTCTTATTTGTCTACATTGAACCAGTGATTTATGGAGGAAAGTCTTACTGGCTAAATTTTCTTAATGAGCTTCTAAATAACAACAACTCTTTCCTGCTTAAGCAGCAAGTTGCAAATATAAAACTGAAATACTAAACTGAAAAAACAATCATGAAGTACTGTAGTTTCATTATATACATTGTGAACAAATAATTTGTTTATTGTCAAATTTGACAATAAATTTTAAATATGCTTGACCAAGATTAAAATATTTTTCACCAGAACTTTCAGTATTTTACTATATTCAGGCTAAACAATGTTTAAGTTTAGATTTAATCTAGTGTTCAGGATTTAAGCACATTTGTATGTTGAAATAAGTCACAATATTCATAAGCGTAGTTACAAATTAATGTGTGTATTGAAACAAACACTAGTAACAGTATATTATTGTTTTTACTTTTTTATTGGCTGTTCGCAAGAAATTCAATTGATTTAGTTTGTCCCTTTGCGATTTCCGTAGAAAGCTTGCCGTTGTTATCCGAGGCTAATCAGTTAGCAATCCATGTCATGCTTACACGCAAACAAGATTTGGTTATTTGTGTGGTTGTGTTTCGTGACAAAGTATCATTTGACGCCTTTCATCACATAACATCTCGAGTATAGGTATGTTTTCATGTTTGTATTTACATTTTTGCGATTTAAAATGTAAATATTTACTAGTTAGCTAGCTAGTCACCGCTCTCACAGGACATGTTTAAATGCACGTTTTCGCCTAATCCAATGAACTGTGAATACAATTAACTTAAACTGTGCTCCTTCAAATTTATTTACATTTATTTCCCCCAGCAAATACTTTTTTTTTCTTTTTCCAAGAGCAGAACTGGAATGTAGAAGGCAGTGTTCAACTTTTCCTTTAAGATTAAATTAATTTAAGTGAACATTTAACTGACTCAGACTGGACCTACTTTGCAGATAGATGGATAGAATAAAAACACAAACGTGTAAAATTTTATAGTTCATAAAGTAAAAGCAATAAATAAGGCTGAAATCGTTTTCTTTCTTGGGTTTTTTGGGCGTTCTCAACTTTTTTAGTGCCTTTTCTTTATTATCATTGCCGTGGTTAGTCATGATAAGGTGATTGAATCAAAATCACTCCCTTCACACTTCTCTTCAGGCTGCAGAGCTGATAGCACTGACCAGGGCGGGTCAGTCAGCTCAAGGAAAAACTGTGACCTCTGGACAGATGCTCAGTATGCATTTTCAACGTTGCACATTTGTGCACTGCAGTGGAAAAATGGAGGAACGATATCGACTGGCAAACCCATAACACATTCAATTCAACCTTTTATTTATACAGGTTCGTCTCAGTGAGTCACGACGACTCATTTTCAAGAGACGCGGGGAGCTGATTGTTGAATGCTGTCCAGCTCCTGCGAGAAACGTGTGCAAACCACACACCGTGAAAATACAGTTTCCCAAGGTAACATATCTGCAGACACAGCAGCTAAAAAAAGCTGCACAGCGGTTGTTACCTTGGGAAACAGACATTCCACACACTACGGCAAACTGACCGAACCATCTTGACTGGCATGCAGAATGTGAGCATAGACGAGGACAAAAACATTTGGATGAGACGTGGTGCTTCGGTAAATGAGACAACACGGCTTTGGACATGTCCAGCTGGTAAACCCACCCTGCCCAAGAACATGTCTCCTGCCTCACCCGGCTGAGATGCTGAGATGTGCCGTAAGGTCATCATCAGACAAGGCAGATGAGATGGTGTGGTGTTTTCCCATCTTGATTGAACCGTTTTCTGCCTATGGAGTTTTCCATCATACTCATAAAGCATGATTGTACTTGCAAAGTTGATATACTTATTTGTAATAAACATTCCATAACGGGGGGCCTATGTCAGAGAATTTTGGTCAGAGGTTATACAAATTGTCTCTCGAAACACTTTTATTCTGAAGAGATGCCCGTGGACCGTATCTGTGAAGGCCAGGAGTGCCATGTGAGACTACAGCTGGCTTCGAGGACACCCACTCAAACCTTGTCAAGCTGATGGGGATATAAAAAGCGAGCAGACAATGCAGCATGCTGCAGATTCTCGTGACCGGGCATCATGTGCATACATTAATGTATAAACTGCTTCGATATCTGACCTCGCACATATAATTGCGCTGAAGATAAATCTTCACCTGCCGTGTGTGAGTGTGGTTATGTTGTTGCCGTTTGATTTAGTTCCTTAAATTTTTTTAGACACCTAACTTCCAACAAAGTGGCTGTTTTTGTACTAAAACCTTTTTCCCCCCTGATTTTTATTCCATTTGAATTTAGCAGGCGAGATGGCAGACCGAGCTCCATCTGCTGCCAGGGAGGCTGTCCTGAAGCACAGCTGTGAGCTTCCTGAGGACATGCTGAGAATCCGAGGCTATGACTTCAACCAGGGCGTTGATCTGAAGGCGGTGCTGAAGTCCTACCTCACCACAGGCTTTCAGGCCAGCAGTTTGGGCTTGGCCATCCAGGAGATCAACCGCATGGTGAGAGGATCCAAACCCTCTGCGAGTTTAGATATCAACAGACATAAAAGACAATTTAGGCTAAAACTTGATCAGTTTCTAGATGCTCACATAAAAAAAAATATAGTAGTCATCAATCCAACCAGTGTGTATGCATCTTAAGTTGACACAATCTTTAGCTCTTGTTCTTTTTACAAAACAGTTTCAGATCAAATTAATTAGTGCCAACATTTCTCAACAGTCAGTGGCCAGGCATTCGTAATATTTGTCCTGTGAGCTAGCTGCTGCTAACAAGAAACTTGACATCCACAGATAGAGAAGCGTCTTGAGCCGGTGGAGGTATGTGAAGAAAATGAGTCTATAGAGTCTGGGGAATCCTCCCGAGCATCAGGCTGCACCATCTTCCTGGGCTATACCTCCAACCTCATCAGCTCTGGAGTCAGAGAGAGCATCCGCTACCTGGCAGAGCACAGAATGGTATTCAGTTGTCATAGTGCTGCGGGTAACTTCTAAAATCTAATTGACACAACTACGGTAGTTTATTGGAATCTGTTGCTTTAGGTGGATGTGATTGTGACCACTGCTGGAGGCATCGAGGAGGATTTGATCAAATGTTTGGCTCCCACCTACTTGGGAGACTTTAGTTTGGCTGGGAAAGAGCTCCGGCTGAAAGGCATCAACAGGTTGGTTATGTTTATACTCTCAATATGATTCAGATTCTAAATATCTTTATCTATCCGAACCTTTACTGACTGACTGTTAAGCAGATATAGTTTATTTTTTTTCCTCACTCGCGTGCAAGGCGGACGCTTTTTCCTTCTCCTGCTCTCCTGTCCTCCTCCTACTTTTTTTGCTCTCTGTCTTGTGTATCGGAGCTGCTATTTTACACATCTTCCGAAACTAAAACTACTGTCATGGATCTGGTCAGCTGGACTTTCAACGCAGTCGATAAAATCTTTTCAACAAGCGACAGGGTCCTGGCGAGCCCTCATGCCCCACTGAGACGCACGCGGCAGGATATATCACGGATCCGTGGGGAGTTTGGAAGTTGATGTGACGTTCCGTATTGTCTCAGGAGGACGCCGAAGATGTTAATGTCATTGGAATCATGACAGCAGGGTTTCTGCTTTTTCGCGTCGGCGGATACCTATGTTATCAGTAGGGGTGTAACGGTACACGTGGGTGTACCGAATTGTTTTGGTACGGCATGTTCGGTTAGGTCCACGTGCGTACCGTTTCGGTTATTTTTTCACTCATTAAATTTTATTAATGAGAGATTATGCGCCGCGAAACTAAAATTCCTACGCGTGTTTCAGCACGGCGCTATTATCTTGTAACATGTGTAGCATTAGCAGCCTAGCATCTCGTTGTGGTCTCCCGTTTGGAAACATTATGGCTTTCTTGTTAAAAGACAAGTGAACAAATCCAAAGATATTTGTTGACATTGTTTCACAGAGACTGTATCTGCAGCAGCAACACATCTCACTTGTTAACGCACTTGAAACGACATCATCTGAACATGAACGTCTCTTCTACAGAATAGCAGCTTGTTGTAAAGACCGATAACATCAGCGTTTAAACAACCTTTATCAGGTCATTCAGATCGGTCCAAAGGAATAACATAAGCTGTAGGAGTTTTTAAAGCTCTGGATCTATGTCCGTATTCTGTTGTTGATGCGCCGGCTTTAAAGTTATTGAGCCCCACTACGACATCCCATCATGTCAACACTTCAGCCAAAAAGTTGTAGCAGCTCTTTATGAAAAAGCTAAAACTGATATCATCAACAAGCTCTGGACCAGATTAAAGCCCTGCCCTGATGATGATGAACGAGAGATTCAACCAACCCATAACAAATGATGACTGTTCAAGAAGAGGTATTATTTTATTATTATTATCTAATTAACTTTTTTTAATTTAAAATTATAATCTTATTAACTCATTTTGTTTTTACCTATTTGTGTTTTATTTCCAGTCTGGGACAGAGATAGCAGCTGAGGCTTCTTCCTGTTCAGGGAAATCCACCAGATTACCTCCAGCTAAGAAGTCTGTGATGAGTGAACTCTGAACTTTTCCAGGGACCTGTCCCACCTGTGGGAGCAGGTCCAGGAGGTTGTGAGTAATGAGGCCAAATACAGCCACACTGCAAAATTAGCAAAGATCTACATCTTTATTCCAGCTACCTGTTGCTAGTGAGCGTTTTTCTCCACCGCTGGAGATAATGTCACTGCAACTGTGCTTTTGGCAGAAAATGTGGACAAGTTGGTCTTTTTGGATAAAAACTTAAAACTTGACTAGTTAGATTGTAAACGGTCTGTTGCTGCTTATTGTTCTGGTTCTGACTGTTATTGTATTTATTAAGATTTTCATTACTGTTAGTATAGTTTCTTTATTGTAAAGCGTGCTGTTTATTTAAAATATCATCCAAATGGGTCGCTTTTATTTATTTTTATACAAACGTATTGTTTACTTGGCGTATTTTCAAAATAAACGTTTTGCAAGTCTTCATTTAGTCTTTTTTTGTATCGAAAATTAACCAAATGGAAATGTGATGTTAGCGTACCGTTACACCCGTAGTTATCAGTTATTAAAGAAGACGGCAGCAGCAGTTTTGGCCATGGCAAAGCTGCCGAGTCTTTGTGATGGTTTGGTTCGTGCTTCGAGCATTCAAAATCAGCTGCTTTACGAGCTCAACCGTGAGATGGAAGCGATTTGTGAGAATCGCAGACCAGCTGCTGCTTCTGGGACTCGCCAGCATGTTGGGGACGGCCTTGGAGGGGGCTCATAAGCACGGACCAGTGGAATGCCTACAACTCTGGCCATTGGGTTCAAAAGTACAAGCAGGACTCAAGGCTGACGAGAAAAAAGCAGTGTACCTGAAAAAAAATCAACACTTGTGGCTTATCTGAATCTGACTCCCCTGTTCGACCTCGAAGCAGGCCGACTTATCAGATATCTCCTGGGATATTAGCTATCACAACCCCCCCACCCTGAGAACCTCTGTGAATGCTTATCAGAGCTGTACCACCTGACACCAACATCTTAACAGGATTATGGTGCTATCTGGAAGTGCTTCATGGACAAATTTCACCATCTTGCTGTCAAATGCATATGTAATAAATATAAATGTGCTTGCTGGTAGTTTTTTTTTAAATGTCTTAAATCATGTCCTGATAAGAACAAGATGTGAAGAGATCATTTTTGTAATACCACTATCCTATCTTCATGGCCTTTTCTATCTAAAAAAAAAATTCTGAAAACGAATAAGGGGCCGCGCGCTCGAGGAGCAGCAGCAACGTGCACTCCGCCCAGCTTTCGGACGACTGTACAAACATCATCTCACTGTATTTAGGCACAATGATAATAAAGCTTATTCTGATTCTACTTAAAATATTCGTGTGGTCCATGGAAAGACCATCCAGTTCTCGGCTTAGTTTACGTATCTAAAACTTTTTTGTGAAAAGCAGCCCCAATGTGTTGTTTGCTCAAAGGGAAGAAGCAGGCATTAAATGAAGTTTGCATAGTAAAAAAAAAACAAAAAAAAAACCTGAGCTGTTAGTGTAATGTAAGGCAACAATTGTGTTTTGAATCTAGAATAAAGTCCGCTTTTTTTTGTGTTGAAGACGCTCATTCCATGTAGAAGTTTTTTGTGGTACCGGAACAATACAAAAGAGTGGAGTGTGTTCGTAAATCATAGTTTGCAAAAAATAATTTTTTTGTATCAAACGTGATGACTGTAGTTTGGAGCAGCAGTCTGAGCTTTGAGCCATCAGTTTGTGTCAGCACGTTCAGATTGGTCCGAGTCAGGCATACGCCAGGACACACACGTGACCTCGAACAGGAAATTCCAAAACAAAAACACTTCAATGATAAATAATTTTTGCAAAAAAATGGTTCAAACCATTTTCATTTCCAAAGTATATTCTGATAGATTACCCATACCATAATTGTGGGGCCAGCTGCCAAGTTGGGTACAAAGTGGGCCGAGGTGGGTACAACTTGGCAAGCCCTGCACATGAAAAGAAGGCATCATTTTCAAAAACTGGCCACCAAATCATGACCACATGACTCTTCAGTCATAACACAGAATTTAATGAAACTGCAGCTGAAGATTTAGCTTTTTTCTTGCGACTCTCCCACTAGTTAGAGTTGCCAACTAATCTGCAGCAGTCGCAGTCCAGCGACGTAGTTCCTGAAAGTGACTGAAAGTAGAGCAGTGCGGTGGAACATGGAGGGGTCAGAGGGAGTGTTACTTCACAGCAGAGAGGGATGGAAGTGGTGTGCAACTTGTTAAAATGCTTCACATAAATGTTTGATTTTTTTTAATCTCAAGGTTTCTTCTGACTAGTTCTTTTTAAGTGCGGTAGTTTTTGAACATTTTGACAAACCTCCTGTTCATTTATTTATTTTTGCCCCAAGTTAGGTGAAGAGGTTAAATGCACACACTTTAGCAGTCACTGTTTTTTCACTTCAGCTGGAGACAGCAGCCGGTTAGCTTAGCTCGGCGCAAAAGTTTGCATACAGCAGCAAAACTCTTAATCTTGACACGAAACACAAAAATACTTATGAGCATTTTTCACAATTCCAGCAGTTTTTATCTTGTTAGGATGCATATAATCCAAAAAAAACCCCAGCTACATTTAAATTCCAGATTTTAAGACAGTAACATAGGAAACAGATTAAAGAGGTTACTGATACTTTTATCAAGTTATTGTATTTATGAGCTGCATTTGTCTCTGCTGGTCTTATCCTCCTGTCTGTGCCTTCACCGACTAGAATAGGGAATCTGCTGGTGCCCAACGATAACTACTGTAAGTTTGAAGACTGGCTGATGCCCATTCTGGACCAGATGTTGTTGGAGCAGAACACAGAGGTATATATATGTTCTTCAAAATGTGATGTTTTGTCTTTTATATTGATTTTATTTTTTTACTAACAAGTAAAAATGCTATTTTTTCAGGGCATCCGATGGACTCCATCTAAAATGATCCATCGACTTGGCAAAGAGATAAATAACACCGACTCAGTCTACTACTGGGCCTACAAGGTTAATCATGGATTCTGTGAGGAACATAGGCAATATTATAAAATGTTATTTTTTGAAACTGAACTTGTAATTTTTCACATACCGTGAGTGTTTGTGTTTAAATAAGTTGTTTGTTTCCAGAATAACATCCCTGTGTTCAGTCCTGCGCTCACTGACGGCTCTCTGGGCGACATGATCTACTTCCACTCGTTCAAGAACCCCGGCTTGGTTTTGGACATTGTTGAAGGTAGAAGCAGCAGCACTTTTACACCGCAGCGCTTAAAGTTGTTCTTTTGGTGATCGAGGTTTTTTTATTTCAGATATTCGAAGGATGAATGGCACGGCAATCTTTGCCAAGAGGACAGGAATGATCATCCTGGGAGGAGGACTAGTTAAGCATCATATAGCCAACGCTAATCTTATGGTAATTATATATTTAGACACTCAACACATGATATGAGTTTTTGGGGTTTGTTTAAACTCGAACAAATTCTTGATAAATGCAGTTTGTTACCAGAGGAATATGGTCAGGTGATATTAACCGTAGTGCAAATTCAAGGAACACAATATTTTCATTCTTTTGGGTTAGGTGGAAATAAAAACGCTATAATCTGAGAAGAATTCTTAATTTGTCCCTCAATGAGGACCTTTGTAATAATGTCGCAGCAGAGTGATGGGCAACACAATAAAGAATACAAATAAGGAGTTTAATCATTTACAAGAAGTTAGCTGTACGTTAAAAATAACCATTAAAGTAAAAATAAAAAGCTGTGGGTTTAAGCTGAACCCCCCCACTATGTATGCATGAATACAATATTATTTATTGTGTAAATATGGACAAACAAGACAAAAATATAATGTACTCGGGTATTGAGCAGGGATTGTGACAAACGAACGATAAAATTAAACGGATGCAATTTTTCATTTTTTGTTTTACTTATTACAAATTTTAAACCAAATCAAGCTATTTTTTCCTCATCATTCTGAACTCAGTTCTTCATAATAACAAAACAACAACATACATTTATGTGCTCTGACACTTTAATGACATTTCTAATTGTTGATATGGCATTCACCGGTGGAAGGATAACCAAATTTTTTAGGTTATTTAAGAACAAACACTGATCTTTAAAAGCTCTGTGTGGATGGTGGAGTTTGTTTTAGTTTATTCAAATAATCAAATATTAGTCAAATAAAATATTTAGTGCAATGTTTCTCACAGCCATCATCACATCTGTGTAGTAACTCACATCTGGCATCTTTCCAAAGCAAGTGTTTTCTTTTGTAATAATACATAATACCTGTTAAAACAATTTCATTCTAAGCAGCTCCAAGTGGCATTTATTTTATTTTAACTGTATTATTACTTCTTGATTGTAATACTTTCTCTTCCACTGCGTTAACAGAAATATTTAGTCAAACTTTTTACTTTTTAAAAAGCTGTAAAGGTTTTAGAGTTTAGGTTGTTTTAAAAAACACTAATGTAAAATCACTTCCTTGGTGCTGCCTGTCCTCCTTTCAGAGGAACGGAGCTGAATACTCGGTGTACGTGAACACGGGCCAGGAGTTCGACGGTTCTGACTCCGGGGCCCGACCCGATGAGGCAATATCCTGGGGTAAAATCCGGACGGATGCCAAACCTGTAAAAGTAAGAATACTTTTCACTTTGTTTCTAATCTCTCTGACCAAACCACCAGTATTCACATAAACTGATGTCAGCATTAAGTTGTCGTGGTTTTCAGTGTCAGAAAATGTTTAATTAATTCATTTTTAGATTATTTACATTTGTCTGCTTTACTTTTTATGTATGCTTTGACAGCTTAGTTTAAACTGTTTCAGGTTTGTTTGTTTTTTTAAATAAGTTGACGATTTATTTTCAATGTATTTTTGTCAGGATTATTAATTCAACCTTTATTTATACAGGTTAATCCCACAGAGCCTCGGGGACTCATTTACAAGATGGACCTGAATTATTACTGGATTATATATCTGAATCAATTATTTAGGACAAGTGCAGTTAGAGATTGAATCCTACACAGATAAAAAAACAACACATGTTATATGTTGATGCTATAGCCAGTGGACGTGACAATTATTGATTTTAATTAAAAAAACATTGTAATGTTTTTAGCGTGATGAAGAAACTTTGAACCTAATTTGCTGAAAACCAACAATATATTTATATTTTAGGGCTAATTTAACATTTTAAACTTAGTGTTTGGGATTTTAAATGTGTTTGTAAGTAATTTTCAGACATTTTCACCAAGAAGGAATGAGCCTAATTATTAGTTTGTCAGAACAAATGAAGCAGAAAAAGTTTGCAGCTGAATATTTGAATTGCAACCAAGACCTGAGGTTCCAGCTTTTGGCCACAAGGTGGCGATGTTTGTTAAGTTTTTGGAATAAAGACACGAATCCAAGCTCCAAACCTGAAATAAATGTAAAACGTGGAGGCAGGTTTTCAGTGTACAGCATGTTAATAATGACTGTAATGCAACATTAAATTGTACATGTTCTGTTTTTGGTTCCAGGTGTATGCAGACGCCTCTTTAGTTTTCCCTCTGATTGTAGCCGAGACCTTCGCTCTGCACGCCGACAAGCTGACCGCCGGACAGAAAACTGATTAATTTACCGCTGCCTTACCTTACATGTTTACGTACAAACAGCAACTGCCTGTTTTCTTTCATTTTTTTTCTTCTCACTGGAAACGCGTCCAAAACCCAGAACCTCTGTTGTGAGTCAGTTTTAAAATGCATGTACAGAAAGAATCTGAATATTTATTTGAATGGAATGCTAATTGTGATAATAACTTGTTCTTACAAGTCAACATTTTCCTTTGTTTTTATGACGGCTGGCAGAGTGTGTTATGCTGTTACCTGTACCAAAGAGACAGCCTAGAATGCAACATGTTTTAGCTGCAGGGTGTGTGTCGAAGCAGAAAACTGCACACAAATAAGTTAGCTTAGCAGAGTGCTGTGACATGAAGCAGACCTGTGTTCAGTCCCTGTCCCTGCATGGAAGACATCCCTACATAGTTTAAGAAGTTATGAGGAAGTGACTCTCTTCCTGGTTTAAATAAATTTGAGTGCACCTATAAACACTGTAATGACTGGCTGTAGATGTGTGTGAAAAGGCCTCACTGATTCCATCTTGTGACTGATTATTGTTTAAAAGAGAAGTTTTTAGATGATGATGCTCCTCAGTTACATTTTGTAGAACAACAACAAAGTGACAAAGTAAAAAAAATATATATATGGTTTACAAATAATACATTGAAAGTTGAAGATGGGTTATTTTTCTGAACGTTTCTGATCCGGCACCTCGTTTCAGAAGAGCTGAGTCAGAAGGCTGCAGTCCTGTAAGAGCGTTCAAGAACATTTGCAGTTTTGAAAGTTAAATATTGTCCCAATTCTTGCTAAACGTATCGTATTTTTCATTTCATAATCTTACTGTGTTGTAACACATGTAGACTGTGGGTTGATGTCTTGCTGAAATAAAGAAAATATGTGTCAACTTTTGGTTTAAGCCACAGTTTGGTCATTGTTTATTACTAAATGAGCAGCTAAATACAACGCAAAGTTTATTTTACTCACTTATGTTGGTGGCACTGACTTAAACATAAAGCTAATGAAATGTAAGTGTTCAACTGAGGTGATATTTAAAACCTTTGTTGTCTCTGAATCGGCTTCAAAACGTGTTTTCCATGAACCACCTCTTAAAAAGGAGAGCCTCAGACTGTTGAAGTTAGTTTTATTAGACACAAAGCATTTTTATTGCCTGTCGCTGAAAGGCGAACGATATTTTAGCTGCACGTTGCTTTTACTAATGTTTTTAATCAACCACAGGATGAATTTTAATGAAACTGTGGAAATTAACATTGGAGTGAACTCAGTTCAAGATGGCTGCCACACAGTCCACAGCAACTCTGGAAAACCTGGAGAATGACTCACATTTTCCAGATATGGAAAACACTGAATTGGAGCAAAAACATAAAAAGCAGGAACACTCGGGGAGTATGAACACTGATCTGCTCATTTTAAGATTATCTTGAGATTTTCATGTGTTCATGTATTAATGCTGGTTTCTGCTATCAATAAGTCCATATTTTTGCTTCTAGTGTTCATACTACATGTATACTAACTGGTGGCTTTTTAGTATTTGTAATTATTCCTAAGTATTAGTAATAATTACTAGGCCTGTTGCGATAAACAATAAATCAACTAATCGCATGATAAATGAAACTTATTGACCTCATTTTCATTTATCGGCTTTATGTTTCTTTGTGTCTCTTTCTGAAGACACTGGATGACAAAAGGCTCAACTCAGGTGCTCTTCACTGTCGCTTTCTCTTTAAAATCTGTTTTAATGATCCAAAATCACGTTTTTGGACCATTAAATGCAGCTAAGCTGAGAAACTAAGAGCTAAGCTAACA